GAATTTCTCTTATGGTACCACAGTCTTAGCTTACTTTTAAGCAACAGCTTAGGTGATATTGAAACCATTAAAAGTTCTTTGTCGCCTTGTAAAATATATGTTCTCTACTTTAATTAAGCGAATTAATGATGTACTATATCATATAACAAATATTTTAAAGTATCTCTTTCAAGTGCCAAGCAGCCTTATAATCACTATCAGCTAGCATTCAGTTTTCTTTGGGATCCAAGAAGAATTTGCTGAGGCAGATACTTAGTAAATATTTCATATGAAAATAAAACTTAATCTCAGTTAAGTTTACCATTACAAAGTTAAAGATATAATGATCAAAAATTAATATATAACCCATCGTTTTCTATCAATGATATACAATCGACTGCGATGACTTAACCATGAAAATGGAAATGAACCTTGAGATAAATGATTTCATCATGTCTTCCACAATACTGTATAAAGGTAAATACTTTCACTTTACACTTTGAGATTCTCCCCATTTGCGATTGCAATCAGCTTGAACTCGGCTTGCAGTTGGTTTACTTTTACCTTCAATCAGCTGCGACCAGAATGCCAAGTACAGGCGGATAAAGAAGCTCACAGAGCCGGGAACAATAATTTGCATGCCACTTACAGGCGGAACCGACTGGTGAAAATAAAATAGGAAACAGAAACAGGAGGGTGGCGGAGGGAAATGGAAAATAGAGAGGGAAAGCGAAGGCTGGACGCTGAAGAAAAACGACGGCACGCACCAGTTTTGTTTTCTTACACTTTTTTTGAGCCAAAAAGTTTTGTATTACGTGCAAAACGAGAGCACGCTTAAATTTATTGTCCTGCAAGGAGCAGAGAGACCGAGAAAGCCAATTTTCACTAAAATTTGACCCATATTTCAACGCAGACCAAGAGAAAGAGAGAGAAAGAGCAACGAAAGAGATGGCTGACAATGATCACACACGCTCCACTTCATTATCACAAACACCGTTAGTCACACATCATCATTTGCCGTTATGGCGGCACATACGCAGAGCGAGATGGAAATAGAAGAGCAAGAGAAACAGAGACAGAGCGTTCTCCTGTCATTTGCTCTGCGTAAATGTGCAACACTTTGTGTACTGTCACGTTGTCGATGAAGTCTGTCCGTCCCTGTCACTCTTTATGCCGGGGCATTAAGTTTGACAGGCAGACATGGCAGCCCTTTTCTTGTTTTTAGGTTATGTTTTGCGGTTGTCACATCCCGTTATGATCGAAAAGGTATGCGTTTAAATCGGAACAATAAATAGATAGCTTGACCTTGTGATACATAACTAGAATCTAGATAATGTATGCATTTTACTGTTTTAGGGTAATGCTTTGAAGAAAATTATCGGAAATCAATGGAAATAATAAAACCTTCTGGAATCACAAAATAAATTAGGGGATACTTATCGACGATAAGGTGCTTTTTAAATCTAATGATTGATATCTAAAATGTATTTTTTACAAAAATTGTCTTGATTTAAGTTATAACCTTAAATTAACTTTCATCTGAGATGTTTTTTAAACAAGACCAGTTTAACGCTTAGTTAAAAACAGATTATTTTGGCAAAAATTATCCTTTTTCTAATCCAATATGACAGTTTTTCAACAGCATTATGTTATGAAATGTTTTTTAACTAACTTATCTCATTTGTGATTCTCCAAAACTTTATTTGACAATTTCAAAAAACCGCAAGTCCATGAAGTACAGAGCATTCCACATTCGACCAAACAGGAAAGGGTCTATATCCTGCTGAAGGTTGTCCCCTGTCTGAAGAACATATTTCATGGCTTAGGTAGATACTTTTTCAGCTAGTCAGCGCTAAACGCTGCCAAGCTAGAGGCATAAGGAAAATAAAATAAATGAATATGCGCCACGCACAGGCATCCACACACACTCTCTCTCTCTCGCCTCCCAGCAGCCTCCTTGCTCGTGGCTCTTAGTCCTGGCAGCCATTTTGTCTTGGCCTGTTGTTCCTTTTTGTTGTGCCTTGTGCGACGCCTTTCGCATAACTGAACGTGTGCGCTGCATTTGTTTTACATTTTATTATGCTACTTTAAAATGCCAAATGGAAAAAGCAGCTATGGAAAATTCAGTAGAAGAAAAACCAGCAGCAACAGCACAACAATAACAACGAGAAAAAGCGGACAAATGCGAAGGAGCAGAGGATGGAGGGTGGATGGACCACACCCACAGCATTGTCCGCTTTCCTTTTTAATTTTCCTTTTTTTCCTTTTTTATATTATATTGCAAAACATTTTTTTGAAGGACAACAGTCAAGTCAATAGAACAACAAAACTGTGTCAGCAAAAGGATCTAAAGGAAGATGACGTCTGGACCGAAGTGAAATTATTTAATTAATATTGTCGTATGTCAATATTTTATTTATAAAATATATTGAGACTTATATATAAGGATTTAGGTTTAGTCAAGAAACCTGTTATTATATGTAATATATAAGATTTTATATTATTTTCTCTTAGATTTAATCTTATTTATCACAAGGATTTATATGACATTAAGAGATTTATATAAAGAATATTTCGTAGTTTTTTAAGTGAATAAACTGAGTAATCTTATAATTGTTGCTTCTTTTACTGATAAATCAATATTTAAATAATAAATAGACACGGACATTTGATGTTTTACTTTCTAGATTATGTCTAGACTACAAACTTTTCTAGTTTTTGATCGTGGTATAGAAGAAGTATGTGAGAAAAGCGTAAAAATTATTATTTTAATATGCAATATTGTCATTTATGAATATATTCTTCAGCTGAAATGTGATTAACGCAATCCCAACAATCCGAATCAGAGCAGTAATTCTAATTCATAACTTCAGTCTTTTTGGCGTAGGCTCACTAATTGCTCCTGGCATTGTCTTTACAGCAGCTCACTTTCTTAGAAACCTGAGCGCACGGGATATGTAAATAATTTGAAGGATTCACCGCTGATTCAGTAGATGGAAATAAATTAATTTTGAATTTTAAAGCGCTCTGTAAACCAAAACCGTATTCGAAGCCCAAAGTGAGCTCTTTATTTTATTGTGGCGTGTCAATAATTTTATATTGCCTTCAATTTATTAGCCCTTGATACCGATGCGAAAGGCGTTAACAAGGGTGGCACAGACTCCCAACCGCTGAGAGCGCACGCAAGGATACAAACAAACAAACAAGCAGACGGACAGAAGGACAGATCAACTTGCACACGCACAAAATGGTATGATATAATGTTTATTAAGCATATACATACATATATATATAAACACACACAAACAGACCATATTACCCACGTACAACGTCGCGTATACTTGATATTTAATTCAATCTGGGCGTAGGTTTCCGTTTTTTGCCTTCGTACAGCGGAGTACGCTTTAAATTAACACAAACAAACGTTGTCAGCGGCAGCAGTACCACCGACACCACCACCCACTCCCAACAACAGCAACAACAACAACAACATCAACAACGGGACCTATGATAACATACACCCGCACACACACACTCGCAGGAAGAAAAACAACAACAGGCCAGAGGAGAGCAACAGCAACAAGGCACTTGACAATTACAGACTCAATGACAGTCACAGCCAGCAAATTTATTTGCATTTTAGCCGCCTTTCAGACTCCATCTCCCCCAAGTCCACCCCCGAATCCAGCTTCAATGTGGTTGGTTTTCTGTATAATTTTACTGATATTTATACCCTAGTGCAGGACTGTCGAAATTTTAGCCAAATCGTCCAGTGTTTTATGAGTTCCACTGGGCTGTGCTGTACTTTAAACTTGAACTACGGATCTACGGATTAAAGTACTTAAGCTATTACTATACTTTAAATAGATTTGAAGAACAGTTTTCAAGACAATTGAATATTATAGAATATATCATAGTTCTACTATATATACTTTTACTTTCCATTTTCAATTAGATCTATTTTTTAAAACTTTCCCGTTTTTAAATTCTGAAATGGATTCAACGGAAATAGTATATACAAATTCGTATAAGATTAAAATGGTATGATATATAAAATGATACAAGTATTAATCGTTTCAATATGAGTTTCAGCGGGTTAAGTCATCCCTTAAGATAAATTTATAGCCGTCATATTATTCCAGGAGAGTTTTAGAGGATAGAATCCAGTTTCGTCCCTTATATGTTGCATAACCTAAAGGAAAGAATAACTTAATGTGTGCGGATTTCGCCTGATTATGACGCGGTAAGACTTACCTCCGACTAATCGGCTTGCAGGGTATATATAAAAAGCAAGCCTGCTGTTAACGAAAGTTGCCGCAAGAGTTGTGTGTATGTAAATCCGCATAAAAGCGATTTTCTCGCACATAATCACTGGCAGCACACACTCGCACAATAAAGGCAACCCACGACTGCACGTCTGATTAAACGCGAAAGTACGCGACCGACTGGAGGATGGGGTGCCTTCCATGGAGGACACCATCATCCAACATCCAACAGACGCTATCCGCCGCCATTTGCCATCCGCCATCTTCCACCACAGACCACGCAGTCAAGCAAAGCCAAACAGAGGGCGGGCTTATTAACATAGATAGCATCCAGCTCACTCTCACATACATATACTCATGCGTATATGGGCCCGAGTCTCATTTTGGCCCGCAGTGCCCCCAATTAGCCTTATTTGTGTTTAAATTGCATTAGGGCAGCAACAAAAGGAGCCAAATAAGAGCGCCAAAGAGAAAACACGAAAAATTGACGCATTTGTTGGGTTAAGCTTCCGACTAAGCCTTGCCATTCAAAGCGTTTATCGATAAATTCTGCCTTATCGATAAGTTCAACTAAGTGCCCGCAGAGCTTAAATGTATTTGTCCGGGCTAAAACCGAACCAGACACGGGGCCATTAGCCAGGCCGATGTACATACATATGTATGTATGTATCTGGATTTTCTGATACATATGTCCGCATTATCGGGCCTACAAATGCGCGTGCTTAGTCTAGCCATATGACAGTAGTAATTACTTACACTTTTGATCTCATTCATTTTGGTAAATTGACGTCCGAACTCCCACAAGTCGACGCCAAACTTCAGGGCCCAGTTGCGAACTCTGCAAAGAGAGATACAAAATATATATAAATTACCTTTATACATGTTTAATGTTAAAATGTTAAATGAGCGAATCTGCGAAAGTAGCGCATGAAGCTTACAAGCGCTTAAATTACTTTATCTATATATATAAAAATGCTCTGTTCGTGTCTACATCCTTCATAGACTTGAAAAGTTCAGAACCGTTTAAGCCCAAATTTTTACACAACATGCGTTGAGGTTCCAGCTCGGTTATTGTCTATTTTTGATGTTGATAGCTTATCTGCGGTTGCGAATATATCAATTTTTTTAGCGTTTCCCCGTGCCCCTACTGCTGCGCCCTCTACAGGCAGCCAGCTGAATCAAAGCATTTCCTGTCAAACATTCAAAACATATTGAAAGAAGAAACTTGAAAAGTTCTGAACCGTTTAAGCCCAAATTTTTAGAGAACATGCGTTGAGGTTCCAGCTCGGTTATTGTCTACTTTTGATGCTGATAGCTTATCTGCATTTGGGAATATATCACTTTTTTTTCGCGTTTCCCCGTGCCCCTACTGCTGTGCCCTCTACAGGAAGCCAGCTGAATCAAAACATTTCCTGTCAAACATTCAAAACATATTGAATGAAGAAATTGGAGATACAAATTTTATTTTTTTGTTCAGGTTCAGTAAGAAACGAAGTCATGCCACCAAAGAAGTCGAGATTGGGTCGTCGTATTCGCAATACAGAAGCAAAACGACGTAAGATTACGAATATGACTGACAAAGAACGGGCCTCCATCCGAGAGACTGAGCGGCTGCGCGATGAACTTTTACTCATACAGGTTAATGGTTAGGAGGACCGATTGCAATCATATATTGAAATGTCGTCAGTTGTTTCATTAGTACATTGTCGATATGTATGCAAAAATTGAAACAGAACGTTTGCTGTTCCTCCGATTGAATCAGAAGAAACTTCGGTCCGAGGAATATATTCATTTGCGGGATGCTGTGATGAATGACCGTAATACAACCAACGTTGGAAAGCTCACGATTTTGCCATCCTCATACATAGGTAGTCCACGCCACATGCATGAATATGCTTAAGATGCCCAGGCATATGTTCGTTGCTACGGCCGTCCAGACTTATTTATCACCTTCACATGCAATCCAGCTTGGGACGAGATAGTACAGCTGTTATTTCCTGGACAATCATATAGGGATAGGCATGACATCACAGCCCCTGTTTTTAGACAAAAGCTCAAGTCACTGATGGATTTCATTGTGAAACATGGAGTTTTTGGATCTGTGCGGTGCTGGATGTATTCAGTAGAATGGCAGAAGAGAGGATTGCCGCATGCGCACATACTGATTTGGCTGTATGATAAAATTACTCCAGACGAAATTGACAATGTGATATGCGCTGAGATTCCATGGGCAGAGGTTGATACAGATTTGCATGCTGTCATCAAGAACATGATCCATGGCCCATGTGGTACCCTCAACCGAAGTTCACCATGCATGGTAGACGGGAAGTGTTCCAAGCGATATCGTCGAGCATTTACAGCCAACACCGTAACAGGGGACGATGGATATCCTCTGTATGGGAGACGGTCAACTGAAGATGGAGGGACTTCGGCAAATTTAAACATGAGAATTGGTGATATTGAGGTAGACAATCGTTGGGTGGTTCCATACTCACCACTATTGTCAAAATCATACAAAGCGCACATCAACGTAGAATATTGCAATTCCGTGAAATCGATTAAATATATCTGCAAGTACGTGAATAAAGGCAGCGATATGGCAGTTTTTGGTGTTCAGGCAGAAAATGGTGACAACAATGCAGTACGAGTTGTCGATGAAATATCTTAATACCAGGCTGGAAGATACATAAGCAGCCACGAGGCTGCATGGAGAATTTTTTCGTTCCCCATTCATGAACGCTATCCAAATTTAGTTCACTTGGCGGTCCATTTGGAGAATGGTCAACGTGTCTATTTCACAGAAAGAAATGTGCAAGAAAGAGTCCTGAATCCGCCAGCGACAACTTTGACTGCCTTCTTCACCTTATGCCAGGAAGATGATTTTGTCAGAACCTTGATGTATTCAGAAGTGCCCTCTTAACCATAATATGCCACAGAGAAACGTGGCAGGGTACAGCTAGTTTTTTATATATATGTATGAATATACAACCATTACTCCCCACAAAGTGCAACTCATCGATAAGTGGCTTATTAAAAATCAATTAAAATGGATTTAAAATTGCGCATAAATTATTTTCATCTCATTACGCATACGCATACAAATCTTTCATTAAGCAATAAATGGGTCTGGCAAGGACTCGCAATCATTAAGCGAAATGCTCCTAAGGCAAATATATCTTCAATATTTGCCAACAAGTTCCTTTGCGTTATCCGGGGAAGAAAGATGAAAACCAACAAAAAGATTTCAGTAAAACTCACTTGAGAAACACTGAAGACAGCGACAAAACTCATTACGGCTAGACTGGGGGGTAGGGGAGGGGAAATTGCCAGGACAACGACAGGACCAAACAGCCAACTATTGTGAAAACATTTGCCAAACATTTATAATCTAAACGCGAAAGTCAAAAGCAAAACAAAAGCAACACAACGAGTGCTCATAAAACCAGAGGGAGACAGTGCCGGGGGACTGCGACTGTGTAAAGCAACAGCAAATTGAAAATAAAGCACAAGCACGCAAAATCCAAGAGCAGACTCTAGCCAAAAACCGAAAACAAGAAAAAATGAAATATTAAGAAAAAGTCAGAACGAAACAAAGTCAACTTGAGCCAGAGCAAAGACCATGCAAAATAATGCCCCCGAAAATATTTGCACAATTTTATGGCATTATCTGCAATATCAATAGGGCGGGACGCAGGGAGGGGAAGCACTGAAAACACTGAAAATACTGAAAACACTGGAGACACTGGAAGTTCAAGCGAAGGAAACTCCTGCTCGGGCGCCAGTAACCGCAGCAACGTTGCGTATACGCAATGTTCATTATATTGAGCCGGCGGCAGCGAGCGAACGAGCGAGCGAACGAAGCAATCGGCGGAACCGAAGGACGAAGGAGCTTCCCCATCTAGATACAAAATAAGCGCATGTTTATATGGCCAAAAGGAGGAGGGGGCTGAAAACACCGATACGATGCGAGGAGGGGAGGGGAGGCCAACAGATTGCGAGAGGGACGGAAGTGCAACTGCACTCAAGCGGCGGCAGACAAAGTTTTATGGCTCGGGCGATGCCAAAAATGAATTTAAATTATATGAAAATTGTATTATGAGCGGAAGCCCGAGAAGCAGGACGCAGGACCACATCTTTCTCGCCCCGGATCCTTGTGGCCCGCAGCAATGAAAGCGTAAACAATGAAGCGAAATAAAGTGGCCAACAAAGTGATTGAAATTGGATAATGCTGATGGTGGGCAACAACAAAGAGCCGGCTCAGAGATGCCGGGGTCAAGTGATGATAATTAAATGAGACTTACACCATGCACTATGCATATATACATATATGCAGGGGAAAAAAAAGAAACGAATCGACAGAGGTTGCTGAATGAGTGGCATTCGATTAAAATGATATGAGTTATCGACAAGAATGGTTTAATCTTAAAGGAAAGTAATGCTATCTTAATCAATTGTTGGATGAAGCTATAAAAGACCATTCTAATCTTAAGTCCACACTTTTTAATTCAATATTTAAAGAAAAAAGTACATAAATATGCATTTCCTGTAAAGGAATTACAATATATATTACATAGAAGTTTACTTTTTGTCCACATAAGTTAAAGAAAAGTAGGAGGAAGTAGGGTAAAGTCAAATAGAAATACCTAATTTTCTTTGTTAATTTAAAAACAGGAAAATTTTTAAATGAACTGAGTGAATGGGAGAAGAAACTTTATTTCTAAAGAACATATTACCCACCACTAAAGAAAAGTTAAATGTTGCTAGGAACATGTTAAGCAACACCAATTGGTTATGCCAATACAAATGTAGATATTGCAGAAGTTTGGTAAACATTAAAACTTTACTATCAAATAACACCCATATATATTTTTACAAAACTACCACACTGGTTTTATTATTCAATATTATTTTATTTTAATCCATAACTCATATAGATTGGTTACGGTTTTTAATGATTTGTGAGGGTGAACATGGCCAAATATTGATTCATACTTTTTCTGAGTGCAACGAATATGAAGTTTGTCACTAAATTTGGTAGCTCTAGGTTTCCGGCTCTCTAAAATCTTTTGTTTCAAAAGGATAGATTAACAGACAGATGGACAATGCTACATCGATTCGGCTGGTGATGCTGATCTAGAATATATGTATATATTCACTGAGAAGCCTCCTTCTGCCTTAATACGTTCTTGGTTTGCACTAACTTGTTATACCCCTTTAACCCCATAAATACCGGGTATTAGAAAGAGTTGAAACAACATAAAAGGCCGTTCACGGAGAGTACTCCAAAAAAGGTAATACCGGCGTCTTATGTTTGCGAAATATTTGCTTAACTTTTCGGGCAATTTCTTTAGCAAACATATAAGAAAGCATGCACAACGAAATGCGCCCTGAGACTGAATCTAACATTCTGTGCCAGTTTAATGCTATCAAGAACCTTGCCGAATCGTCGCCACACCCGCCTGATGCGGAAAATCTCTGTGGAGATACGGTTGGCAGGGCGGAGAAGCCCCATTCATATGCACACGTCCGAAGGAGGAGCAGGGAAAAACATTGGGAATCGGGTCCAGGAGCAGCAAACAGCAATGAAAGGCCATCAACGTCATCCTCTTGGCCCGAAGTAGAAGACATTTTTTTGTTTGCAGATTCTTTTGACTCCTCCTCTTGCCGCTAGCCACAAAAAAGAAAACAAAATCAAAATAGTCACATTTTGTTTTACCTAGTTTTTTGCTGCACGGCCAGAAACTTGACAATGGCTATAACTATGTCCATGTGAAAATGAGGCGAAGAGCGCTCCAGGTGTATCTGTAGTGACTTTCTATTCTGTCTCAGCTTTTTGAGCACGAACCACCCACGTACGTCATGCTCAAGTACCATATACCTGTGCAGCTACACCTGAAGCTATCGAACTAGTTTCGTTCCATTGCATTTTTCACTTTTACCCAACCCCCAACCCCCCCAGCTCCTTCCACATTTGTCTGTGCAGTTTTTCACTTTTCTTGCCGGCCTGCTCGGCCAAGTAAGTTTATGCCGAGGCAGGTGGAAATAGGATGGATGTGCACTCAAAGAAATGTAGTTTATATTAATTATATTTTTATAAAACATCTTTAGAAAAGCTTGAAGTATACCCTTTCTTAGTTAAATATTTCAATACGTCTTTTCCTATACAACAAATTACATCTTAATCTCCACTTCTTAAATGTTGCCACCACTCTGTCACTATATCCTATTGTTCCTTAGATTTTCCTTGAGTGTGGTTGTCACTGGAGGAGTAGGTCAATGGGTTTTTGCCATTTTGCATCATTGAAATTGAAATGAGTCCCCTTGTGCCGCTGCCAGCAGACTTGAATGCGCAATCACAAGAGCGCACTTCAATGCGCCCTCCACGTGTGCCGGTGTACAAGGATTAGTATGTACATATGCCCCAGAGAGCGACTGTCTTCAACTGAACTTAAATCCGAGTCCATCAAATAGCTAACTATATCAAAGCACACAAGCTCACCCATATGGAATGGGGGGTTAGTTATTAAAAAGAGGGAGTTGCATAAAGATATCCTAAGGTTTCAAGGGGGTTTAATTTCGAATCCACTTTTCAGTTATAGGGAATTTTATTAAAATGATAAATCTTAGCAAATAAATACATTGCAAACAAACTAAAGCCCTTGGAGCCAAATTTGACTTAGTTGAAACGATAGTAGTATGGATGAGTCAAGGACTTGGAAATATCAATATGGGATGCGTAGGCATAAACTTCATTTGATTCCTGGGGCTCTGCTGCTCCTTTTTCGGGAGTGACAATTCCCTGTTTCTTCTCACTGTCCAGATCTTTCATTATGGCCAATATCTCTGAGGGAATGCTGTACAGATCACCTTTCCGTTTGAAGTATCCCAAGGGCTGGTAGTTCTCCAACAGCAGTTGAATGTCAATCTCAAGTCCGTTGCCAGTTAAGCCCAATAATTTGACCATGTAGTCGGCAATCTCCTTGACGGTTACTGGCTTTCCCATGGCTCTCATAGCCTTGCTAACGAGAGCTATATCCGTGTAAATAATTCTCTGGCGCTTCATTTCACTACAAAATTTCGTTGACTTGTTTGAATTCCCTAATTTTTAAGCCGAAGTTTAGAAATAAATTTATTAAAGTGACACAGGTTAAGCAGTGTGTTTTGGTTTGACTTGAATAGAAATGTGAGTTGATGTTTAGAAGCCTACCCCTATATAGTTGTTCTTAATCTCGGAGCCTCGCATGCTTCCCAGGCCAAAGTTTTGCAAATTAATTTATCGTGTTCTACGCTAGAATCCACCTAAATGCTCTCACAACTAGGGGTAAATTACACACTACACACACGCACACACACACTTTGTTGTGCGAAAAATAAAAACCAAAATAATGCGCTAGACGGGGAACGGCAGTCACTTCTGTTTGTGTCTCCGGCTTAACTGCTGCTTAATGCACTTTCACTGTCATTTGTCATAAGTAGTTAGCGCTCTGTTTGCTCCCCTCTCTGTTGATTTTGCTTTATTTATTCTTTTAAGCTGCCTCGACGGTAATTAGATCTGCCACGCCCCAACGGGAAGCACCCACAGCGCAGTGTTTCCAAAAGCAGAATGGTTTTAAGCAGCAATTGTGCCACTTGCAGATTTGCCAGCAAAAACAACACGATTTAACGAAAGTCTGTGTGAGTTTTGTGAAATCTGGCTAAAAAGGCGGAAGTTGAATTGTCTATGTCATTTATTTTATGACAGAGACAATGCAACTTTCGTATAGTATTCAAATTTAAGAATCCTCCATTTAATTCATGGGGAACTTTCTTCATTTCAATAGTAATTCCCTTAAATGAGACACTTTAAAATTAAAAAAATAAAAATACAGACACGTAAGGAAAGTTTTCCAATTCGATTAATTTGCAGCCGAGTAAGAGTTGGCTCTTGAATCGATCGCTCATCCGCAGGCCGGCCAGAATTCGAATCATGTAACATCCTCGTTGACGCAGCCTGTCCCCCTTTGTCCTCCCAGGAAAGTTTCTGGCCATGGCACGTGACCCAGAGAAGCATTTTGTTGTCAAGAGCAGCGGGAGCAGGGAAGCTGTCAATGCAACTGCCCCGCCAGAAGGAGGAGGATGAGGACCTGGCGGATGCTTAAGCAAACGAGGCATGCATTAAAATGGCAACTGCAACTGAAAATGAGGCAAATGAATGGGCCCAGTTCGCCCAAGAAAAGGCCGGGCCAGGCGAGAGAAAACAACACTCTCGACTCTCGACTCGAGAGCCCGATGTGGGTCAGTCACATCAAAAGCAATGAGTACGGCACCGAGGACTAAGGACTAACCACCATCTCGACCAGGAGCAGAATGTGGAATCAGGAGCAACTTCTTCTTCAACATCATCGACCAATGCCGAAGCATAATCGTCAAAGCTGGACCGTCAAGGCAACTGGAAGGCCCAAGTTGTTTTTCTTTTAATTTTTTTTATTTTTGAGCCTGCCAGCAAAAGTTGAAATAAATTTAATTGAATTTCTGCAGTGACATAAAGCAAATGGCAACATGGAGAGAGGCAAGAGAAAAGCGAAGCCGAATGAAACCAAAGCAACAGCGAAAGCAAAAGTTTGCTTTTCAAATTAATGAAATTTATTTTACGCATGTGCCACAGCACGTCAGAGGACCAAGACGGACGAGAATTGAACGAAAGTTAAAGAGTTGAAAAATGTTGACACAGTCCCTGTTTTGATGGGAAATATAAAAGCCTGAAATCGAAGCTGATTGATGGCAATCATAAAATACAGACCCTAAAAGTTTCCCTCAATATGCAATAATTATTATAATATTAAAGCAAAAGGTGGAAGCTTCAGCAAGCTAATTGAATTTTAGCCATAAAAAGCGCTCGTCGAAACTAATTTCAATAAATAAATGTGACATTAGAGATATAAAAGCGGCAAACGAAAAGAAAATCACTTAGTGTGTCTGTTCCGGTTTCTGGTTTTTGTGTCCCCCGCCAAACTTCCGTTTCCATCAGCCGGCAAATGTCCTTGCCTGCAAATGGCCGTTGGTTTTTGGGTTAATTAGCCAAGTGAACGTTGCGGTTACGTGTGTTGCCTTTTCCCCTGCTCCTCATCGCCACCACCACATCAACTCCCCCACCGCCACACGTTTGCAGTCACCGTGCGAAGCTAATTGCAAAATCCTATTATGTATCCATTAGATACGCATATATAGTACCATACTGAGTACAACACATACTTATTTGAAAGCCAAAAAATATCTCAGCGCCTCTCTCCCTCGAGTAATATAATTCGAACTTATATCAAGTTCTTTGTCGTCTTTGTGGCGTATACTTAATGGGAGGAAGAACCTCTTCCTTTGATGGCCTGCCACTCATTATTTTTCATTTATTCACATTTTTAATGAATCCTCACATATTCGGGGACATTTTCCTCAATATGTTCCTGGCACTAAACCGATAACTATAACTATGAATGTCAGCAAACCCAGAGAGTGGGTACATTTATTTCAATCTCCATGTGGTAAACAGTGTAATAATCATAAATAAATTGGTCCATAAAGGCAAACGAATGGCTAAAGTTTCACACAGATGAGATTTTGGTATACATAAAATCCTGATGATGCATGAACAAATTTATAATCAAAATAATTGCTATACTTAAACTTAATGAGGCGATGGAAAGTCATTTTTAAGATTATATATAAATTCGAGAAAGATGTTGGCATAAGTTTATTTGGTAAGTTCTTGTTATTCGATAAATCGTAAAGAATTATTTTGAGTGGAAAAAATATCAAGAGTAAGAGATAAATATTTCTTTACGAGATATTTAATTATATTTTTTAATTTAGGTCATTAATGGGATCTAGTATATGTTAGATCAAGTCTCGAATTATGCTAAAATATTGGTAGAAATACAGAAAAGCGCAGCTTTAGAGACTAATTCCAAATTTCATGGAAAACTGTCTTTTTCGTCATATATCTTGAACTAACATAAATACATTTTTTAAATTAGAAATCTATAAAATTCAAGGAATATAGGAACAAAATGTTTCTTAGAGCAAATTTATAAAACCTACCTAACAATATTAATAATTAGTTTTGAATAGTAGTGATAAACCTCTGAAGTAAACTAATAATTTTATCAATGTAAATATACCTTATGAAAGTATAATGTTTGAAGATATTAGATCTCAACGCACTGTACCTGATCTTTGGCTCATAACTTGGCCTTAACGCGTGTCTAAGCTGATTTAGTCATACTCAGACCAACTGTATTCAATGTGGTCAGTTGAAGAACAATGACTACCTTGGAGAGTACAGCACCACCGCTGGTGGAATCCACAGTGTTGACAGCAACCACTGTGTTGCCGGAAATCACTACATCGCCACCAGAATTTCTGTGTCCCCTGGGATTCATCTGGATCGTTGAGCTGGCTTCCTGCATGCCCGATAAGAGCGGTCTGCAGCTCCGGGTTGGCTTCCGACAATGCATTGTGAGATCGTTTCAGGAATAAAGAAAACTTAATCCTTCAGATCTTGTTTTGCAGGAAGGCTACTACCTGGATTTGAGGTACAATCAGTGCATTCGTAAGAAGTACCACCCCAAACAGGTTACGGGACAAATATATAAATATTTCTTTGAAACAACAACGTCAAGGAGACCTCCAACAAGAGTGACCACTACACCCACTCCTTTTACTGGCCCTTGGTATGCCTATGGGCAATTGGGCACCACATTGCCACACCTAGACTAAGGCACATCTAAGGTTTTACAACTCATGCAAATTAAACTAAAGAGTTTTCGATCATGAATTGCTTTACAACTTCCTCGAGTTAGTTGGCTAGTTTGCTTAGCCCAATTCATAAGTAAATACAATTAACCGTACCAGTTACTGTATTAATTATTCACCAGTAACTAAAACCAAATAATTTCCTCCGAAACACATGCCAATGGCCTTCACTTGATACAATAAACAATTGGTTAAATGTTTCAGCAGTTTGTATTCTGAACTATTGACGAGCAACTAGGTAAATTATAGATGGAAAATTGAGCAGGGAGAGGAGGGGAATGAATGTTGGCAGAGAATAAACAAATTTACAATTAATTTCCTGTCTGAGGAAATTGCTAAAATGTTTGGCAAAATGCATAATTGAATATATTGGTGTTGCCTGTCGGATGATGGAATAAAACTTACTCGTTGTGCGGTATATCCTCATCCTGATCGCCGAATGCGACAAATATGTGCATTTTGAATATTAGCACGCCCAGCACAATGGCCACAAAGCAGCTCCACTGTTTGCTCTCCATTTCTGTCTGTATTTGGGCCGGTTGTGTGCGTACGTATCTATGTGGATCAATTGGTGTTGAATACTTTTAGATTTAATCCCCTATTTGGGTATCGATTGGTTTTCGGTTTCCAAAATGTATAATTATTTGGTGTTTTCGCGTGCACGGCGCACATATGCCGATAAAGCCACAAAAAACAGTTCACAAATTAAACCGAATTCGCGCTTAAATTGTTTTCCTTTTCAATTTATTGACACTTTTGATTCTTTTATCGATTCGAGAAAAAAATAAACTAAAATTCGCTCAGTTAAGTTCTTATTTCAGTTGGTTTCGCCAAGCTTAATTGCAATTTCCATTCGATTTTCATATACTTGCTATAAGCGCTTTTAAGCCGGACATTTGGTGCTGCCAAAAGTTTTTATTGCTTTTTCCGTGTACGTTCAACATTGTTGCGAAGCTATTTTTTGGTCAGTTATTTTTATTTTGGTTTGGTGACAAATGGTAATTGAGCTGGTAGTTTGATATGTGGCTAAGGTTAGTGTATTTGTTTGACCTGAAAATAAAAGGAAAAAGGAGAAAGTTTAGATCAAGTTTTAAGAGTTTAATTGCGAATTTATATAGGTTAATAATATATTTGAATATTTCACAAAACTAAAGCATCAAATATTCTCTTATTTGGTTTGTGGTTATGGCATATTTTCCAGGCAAAGCATGCTCATATTCAATTAGTTACCAAATAGTTTAATTTTTGAATACCAAAAAGACCAAAAAAATGCATGAAAATACGAGTATATTTTCGACCATGTTGTCTGTAGATGGGATTTTGGAAGCGGGCTGTTTCCCTGGCTCCCTGTGAATTTGACCTAGAAATGCGTTTTCCACCCACATCGCCCCCACCCACCCTCCTCCATTCACATAACTCACTTCGTAACTTCGGGATGTTTTCGAAATCGAATCGAATTTCGCTCAGCTCCGTTTGCTGCACATGCGCGGTGTGGGAAGCCGCCTTTACTCATTCACTCGGACTCCTTTCGCCAGAAAATGGTGTGTGCCAGTGTGCGAGTGTGCGAGGACTTTTTGTATGGGCATGCCACCCCCTAAAAAGGCGCACATAGCCATACATCCTACCCTGAATGCGAATGTGTTCGGGCTTCTCTGTGTGTGTGTGTGAGTGTACTGTGCTGTGCCGCTTCCCCAAGGATATCGCGTAATAATTTTCATTAAACATGCTGCAGGCCTTGCCTGCCCCTCTCTCGCAACAGCCACATCCACATCCGCATGAAATAAAGACAATTTATTGCGGCCAATACGCACTCACAGTTACTCGCATGTGCATGCCTCTGCCACATATCTAAATAAATGTGTATATAACCGGATTTCGCACGCTTTTCCGACTCCCTTCGCGTCGCCCTTCCGCCTCAACATCAAAAAGTTTGACAGAAGTGGAACGCCATCCGCCATCCCAACGTTTGGGATGCGACATCACACAGAAGGCGAGGCAAAGTCAACGACTCTACATCAGCGAGCTCTCAACAATATGCAGCTCTGAATAACAGGCTTACCAGAGATGCTTCTCCATTTACACATGTTTTCCATTCTCGGGGAATAGTATTTGCAATAGTATATCAATGCCCTCTCAATAATCTAATTAGATAAAACCTATTCCTTAAATAAGTTTTTAAAACTAGAGGCATTCCTTAAGTATTTATATATTTTGAATTTTAGTACTTGTTTATAAGTAAAATTCAAATACATGTATAAATTCTATGCTTAGACAAGAATATGTTATGATTAAATAACATTGCTTTATCTATTAAATAATATATTTTAGGAAGGTTACAAGCAAACCAATTAAAAGATAAACACCTCCTTTTAACTCCAGAAGGATATAAGCAAATTGTGATTATTTTAATATATATTCAAGCCTACAGAATTATAAATATATTTTTATTATTATATAATTTCTAAAAAACACTTTTTTACATCTATTTACACTGTCAAAATTATTATGATGACACATAGGGCATGTTTTGCATAAACTAAAGTAAGTCTTAATTAATCTTTAGAAGATTGTGTTATTAGTCTTCATTAACAATTATTTAAACAAAATTTATCAGTCTGTTGTATTTAATTATATCAAATACGAGTTAAATAAATAAAGAGACAAAGTTTGGTATTGTCAACTAAATCTTTAAAATAATTCATAGTTCATTTGCCAGATATCCCTCAAAAGTATCGCATACTCTATTCCAACAGATCGATTATTCCCGATCAACCCATCAAAGTAGCCATTTTGCGCAAGGGTATCCATCCAGGGGGAAAAGAATGAAACCAAAATAATAGTGATAATAAAAATAAAAGCATGTACAACATGGCGTATACGCAACATTGGCAACGTCAGGCAACATCAAGCCAGTGGAGGCGGAGCTATTGTTGAAAAGTGAAAGTTTATAGTTGGCGCACGTTCATAAAGTTTTGCGTGTTATACAAAAGATTTATTATATCGCATATATCGCTAGCTCCTGCCGTTCTTTTTTCCATTTCCACATCCTGCGCATACGCCACACCGCCCGCCCCAATTTTTCCTTTTTCATTTTTCCATTTTGTTTTTTTTTTTTGCCACTCTGTTTTGTTTGCTTTTTGCCTTTTTATGTTTGGACTGACTTTTCGTTTTTGTTTGGCCCAAAGCAGCAACGGCAGCACCAAAGGCAGCTTAAAAGCAGTATGGCCTTGGGAGTTTTCGTAATGGAATTAATGTGCCTCTGAAAATTTCAATAGGCCGCGTACAAAACTTTTTACAACCAAAGACGGATATGTCTGTGTGTCTGGCCGCACAACGGTTTGATAAGTTATAAATCTGTTCTCTGTTTGCTTATACGCAAGCCGGCCACATGTCATATTTCATGTATCATATCCCCAGACTCTTTGTTTAACATCACATAACGTGATTTTGGTATCATATGGAAAACTATATGCGTTCATAAGTAACTAAAATTAAGATCTGTCGATTTATTAAATAAAAATAAAATTGAAAATATACCTGATTCATAAAATAAATAAGAAATATAAAAACGTAAACATCAGATTGATTTAATTTGCATTGAATAGAGTTTTGGATTTTTAATGTCGAATTAATAAAACTATTTGCTTAGAATGAATCAAAAGCATGCGGTAATTCTCTTTTAAGTAACAACAGAATATTATTTGTTGTACTTTTGTAATAATAGTGTATAGTAATCCCAAAGTCCCATAATTTTGATTTAGTAGAAAAACATTAATATTTGCAGATTATATGTTACTAAGTTCATTTTTAGATCGTTATTATCTTAAATTCAAAATTGTATTATTTCAATTTTGTTATTTTAAATCTTCTTTCGTCTAAATGCACCGTTTTAGCTGTAGTTCCGATTTAGTTTATTATTATGTTATTTTAAGTGTCTTTAAAAATAATTTCAGCCTTAGTTATAACAGCAATGACACTCGAGTCTGCTATTTTTTCTTAATATATGTGCATACATTGATGCAAAAGCTGTTGCAATATTACTTAGGCATCCTAAAGTGATAGGAAGATTTTGATTTAATTTCTAATTGAGGTTTTTTTATATAGACGTTTTTTATTATAAGCCAAACGGATTTTGAAAAGAAATAAACTGACTTAATTTAACATTATTGCTAACCCTTTAAAAAGCTAAGTATTCTAAATAAAGTTATAGCTATTGTAATATCACAGGAATAAAGAAATCTAATAAGGGTACATCTAACAGTAAAAAGGAATGTTGAAATTAAAACATACTTTTAATCTGCTCTATGTAATGTTTTTAGAGGGGCTTCTTGACTATATGGTAAGGGAGTTTGAAACGAATAATAGACCAAGTCCTTTTTATAATTAATCCATAAGCCACAGATATATATTTATAAACACTACAAAACCCACTTTTTGATGGCTGCAGGACCCCAGGGAGCGGCAAGAGCTCAAGGGGAAGGAGGCTGGCAAGGACCAGGGGTTACGAGGTATTGGTCAAGCCTTGAGATTTTACGCAGCTGCGTAAGCTGCGTGGGGCTGTAGTACACGATAAACCGTTATTATGTGCCATGTGCTGGTGTGAGTGCATGTGATCCTGCGAGTGTGTTCGTGTGATGGGGGGAGCGTGCGTAGTAGTAAATAGTAAAGCGGCATAGCATACTTTTTTGGGCGCGCAATCACAGGATTACACTCATACAGAGACGGACGCCAGCACACTCACACAGACGCGCACCGCACCGACTATATGTTCGAATTTTGATTTATGCGGCTCGCAATTGAAACTTTGGCTAATTTATGTGAATTTGGTGATTTTGCGTTGGCCTTTGTTAGGTATTTGGCCCTTTGTTTTGCCCATTTTATTGTGCAATCGACGCGAGAGCATTTCTTCGCTCTCTCTCTCTCTCACACACACACACACACTCTCTCATATCCTTTTCGCTCTCACTTACTTGATGCTCCCGTGCGCGCCAATTTCGCAATTTCGAAGACGAGTGCGAAAAGCTTGACCAAAAACAAAGTAGTCCTTCAGACGCTTAGTGGTGGTGGTTCAGTGGGTGGTGCAGCGAGGCGCAGCGAGAGGGCCAAAAAGAATTGCCGACACTTTTTACTACGCGACTTTCGAACTGGAGAAAGCGACGCGAGAGGCGAGATTCGATATTCGAGTTTCGAGTTTCGAGAAACGGAGTGAGAGACGAGAGATTTATTTGACTGCGCGGCTTCGTCTCTTCGGCTTTTTGGCGCTCACAAATATTGCACCACTACAGGCGCACGCACTGGCACATGCACACGCACATACATACACATATATACACACACATATATCTGTATTGGATTTTTTCCAACGTTTGGCTTTCGACGGTATATCCTGCGGGGGTACAGAGATTTCGAAGTGGATTTGTGTTAATTCTGCCCTTACAAACACTGAACTATCAGTGGCAGCGGTTTAATTTTGGCCGCGCCTCTGACTGTTAACACTTTTAAACTCCACTTGGGGGCACCGATTGCACATTGAGTTGGTTGTTGCTCTGCTCGGAAACGGCGTTGCGGATGTTATTTTCCCACAGCCCTCTTGCATTGGGGCTGAATTGAATTCGTTTGGTCGCGGTTTCTGCTCGGAACGCATCCACACTCGCCAGATTCTCGCCACGAACTGAGTGTGGCTCTTGGGGCAAGGTTGCGTGCTTTTGGGGGCTTTCGAAACCGTTTCGATTCCTCTCAATTCGAATTTCGCAGTCGCTGCCAGTTAAGCGTATTTCAGGCTAGATCTGGCATATTTCTAAAATGGAAAAGCTTATGAAATTTGCAACTAGCTTACAGCCTTAAAAATAGATTATTTTACCATATATATTAACTATTAAAATTGTCGAAGTCAAGCATATAGGATTCAAAATCTTCAGGACTAATTTTGTACGTAAATTTTTAAAATATTTGTACAGGTACTCACGTCGGGCCTTTTTTCAATTTTTTTATTTTTATTTGCTTTTTTTTAATCGAAACATAGTTTTTTTACCAGAAAAAGTAAGTTGCATTATTAAATGAACTTATTTTTGCTACCCAAAGTCCTTCGAGAACAAGAAAAGGCCAATCTCCTCGGAGATATTTATAGAATCAGATCCAACAGTTATGTTTTAAATAATAATTTAAAATTTTTTATTTATATATTTATGACACAACAATTGGTAATAATAAAAATAATTGATGTAGCTGTTAATTTTAATGTTTAAGCCAAAAGGAAGTTCTTGCATTTCTCTATATTTATTTAGTTCATTTGTCAGGGCTGCCAGACGGCGAAATCGCCTCTGCTAAAAATGTCTGGTAATATTGCAAAGCTATCGATATATCCAATGGCGATAGACAGATGTTGGCGGGTTAGTTCAAATTCGAACAGTGAAAGGGTAAATTTAAACAAATGCATTAACGGAAACTGGTTTATTATACCATATTAATATAAAATATTTTTATACGAGTTTTTTAATAATTATCCATCCGTTAATACATTTTTAGGCAACTTAAGAGGGCAATGAGGTTTCCTAGTAAACTTTATATTTTACAGGGAACCTAAGTGTACCATTGAAGAAAATAATGCTAGTTCAGTATATGTAAAATATAAGTAACATTTATTAAAATAAAATTACAATAAGGTAAACTATGAATTAAAATAATTTTTTAACTTTGAAACGATTTGATTGTAGCTCAACTGCAGTATATATATCATCCGCCAGGGTACGTCCACATCCAATGTGGCCAGCACAACGGCAGCACCGCCTAACACGCTCGGCATGCAGATTGTACAGAATCTTGTTTGTATCATAATAGACAGGATTAAGATCCTTCCCAAGCTCCGGGTCGTAGTCATTATAAGCAGCAGCTGGGCATCCAGTTGTGAACTTTGCAGCATCTATTAAATTGAAATTTGTTGGATAGTTATAGAGACCTCTGAAGTTGTTGAAACCGCCTTCATCAGGATTCAAGTTCAGATCTCTGAAGCGCTTTGTTAGGGACGCCAAATCGCAGCTCAGATCGTCCCTTCGGCGTTTTCGAGGGTTCAAGAATTTCTCCATTGTAAAAAATTGAAATATATTTAGTAATACTTTTTGGACTTGTTGACTTGTAGACTTGTTATGATTCTATGTATCGTATTAACAAAGAATCTGACACATCACACCGGTCTGTTCAATGCCAATGCTGTTAAAAGTTTATTTTCAGCTCCAAAGGTTCAATCACCAAATAATAATAAAAGATTTACGATTCCATTTTATTTACAAAAATTAATTTATTTGTTGCATTCATCTTGGTTTTTATAGTTTATGATTTTTCCGTTTTGTTTGCTGACATCAAATCATAAAAATAAGCGTACTTGTGAAAATATTTTTTAAAATTAAATGCATAATTTTAAAATGGTTATTGCTTTTAAAAACTACTAATAAAACATAAATACATTATTTTTTTTTTGCTTTTCTTTTAGTTGTTGTTTTTGTTGGTTTTTTGTTTTCATTCCAGCCTTAATCGTATGAACACTTAACTGATATTTATACCTACACTACCGAATAATAATAATAATAATAATTTCCTATTGTGCGTCGTTCTTGCCGTTTGAATGTACATTGCATAACATATCTAAGCCGATCAAAGAAATATTACACTTATATAATAATATATTATATGCGTTTCAGTTACGTTTAATTCTTGTTTCTGTGCGTTTCTTTCTTTATACGTATATGTACAGGATTTATTTGCTTAGCAAATTATGGCAGATTAGTCTAAATTAAAAAAATGTTACATTGATAAGTTTAATATAAATTTGTGTTTGTGTTCTTCAATTCATGTATTAATATTCTCTTTTATTCATCAAATGCCAAATAATTCTCTGCTTGTCACTCCATGTAAGCTGTGGACTTGTTGTCTTTGTTTGTATGTTTGTTTCATGGTTAGTTTGGTTAATTGTCGAATGTAAATGCAAATGCCAGTCTTAGCATTAGTCGTTTTAGTGTGTCTATATTTAAGTAGCTTTTCCCTCAACTTAGAAGCTAATTTTAGTGTATTAGTCAAGTCCTTTTGCTCTGCGCTGCTTTTTATTTTAGTTTAGTTTTGTTAATCAAGCTCTTAATGAGTGATCAATGATTGATGATTGACTGTCGACAGCATTTGTGGTTTTCTGTTTTTGTTTCTCGATTCATTTTTAGGGCTTCCACCAAAGAGATTAAATTTTGCTCATTCATTCAGGTTTGCCTTGTCTGCTATAATCTATATATATATATATATATAGTTATTTGTGTGTGGTTTTGTTTATATATATATATAGTGTAGTTTACATTTAAAATTATATTTCTGATTTTCGATAAATACACAAAAAATTTAAATAATAAACTGAGCAAAAAGGGAAATTAAGAACGCGAGTTGGGAGAAACAGAAGGTGCGCGCGGAAAATTTCAAATTAAATATGTTTTTTTTAGCATAGGAATTAGCCAACTAACTAAATAACTTTTCACTTAACAAAAATAATTTAAATATAAGAAACACTTAACGTAGAGACTGTTTGGGCGGGTGTGTTATGGTTGAGAGAGAGAGGAAGGGGATCGCCTCAGCGATCTCCCCTGCTGCTACTGCAGCTGGTCGCAGCGATAGTGTTGGTGCTGGTGCTGCTGCAGGCGCCACTCCTGGCCACCGTCTCGTCACCATCATCGCCGAGATACTCGTCGGGCTTGTGACTAGAGGCGGGAGGCGTGAGCAGATTCTCTGGGGCGCGCAGCGCGGTGGCTGGGGATGCCTGGGTGCGGGCTCGAATGGCTTGGGCTGCATCCTGGGCCATTAGCACTTCGTCCTGGAAAATTAAATGAAACAACATCAAATTAGAATGTTTTATAATGAGGGAAAGAGTCCAATAATATCATATTTTGATATTTCGATATTAGGCTTCGTCACCGCTTTCAGATACTTACATACATATCCATGGTGGTGGTGTGGGTCTGGATAATGTGCGAGTCGTCGGTGACAATGTTGGGGCAAATATGAGCCAAGCCAAACTTGTTGCTGACCTGCTCGTTCTGCTCGTTCAGCTGCAGATATGTGGCCTTCTGGGAGATGACCTTGAAGAAGGGCTCCATCCAACGAGCGCAAGGCTGAATCACCTGCCAATCCAAGCCAGAACAGCGCAGAGCGGCCTCACTATTAGTAAAGATATTAAATAATTGATTAGAAATAAACTTAGTAGACAGAAAGACAACTGTTAAACTCACCGACTAAATGTATGACTGATAGCGGCTGCTGCCAGCACCGAGTACGAGTAGTTGGCCATGCCCACATCCAGGGTGCACAGGTCCAGCAGCTGCGAGGTCTGCACGAACTCAAAGCCAGAGAACTGCGGGTAGATGAAGGCATCGTCAGCCTCTGCAGCCTTCTGTCTGCCAATGTGGGCAAACGAGGCCGGTGTGCGATTGTTGACATTCAGCTGCATGTAGACGCCCAGCCAGCCGGTGATGGTGATGGGGCTGATGTCCCAGTCGAGCGCTTGCAGCAGGATCTTTTCATGATTGAGAATGTCCTGCTCCGTGCAGGCGCCGTCCGTAACGTAGGCGAACTCCCCGATTTTGGGCGGGTAGATCTCCTCCACCTTGGCGGCCACGAACAGGCAGGTGATGCCGATCAGCTGCAAATGGGTCTTCTGCACCTTGTGCGCCACGTGCAGATAGCGATCCAAGTAGTCGACGGCCAGGTAGAAGGTCTCCCGGTGCAGCTTGTACACCTCGCAGACCTCGATCAACCAGTCCAAGAGAATGGCGCGCATACGTGGCTGCAGTCCAGGATGCTGCTCCAGCATGTAGACACAACGGAGACGCGAATCCTGCTCATCTCGCTGGGACATCAGGCGCCACACATCCGCGGCGTTGGCCCAAGCCAAGGCGGGTAGTGGGCACTGGCGCAACGCGGTTTCCACGGCTGGCGACATACAATTGAAGGCAGCCGAATCCGACTCCACAGCCTTGATGGGCATCATGGTAACCGGACACGAAGGCTGCTGTTGCTGGAACTGCTGCTTCTGGTGCTGTTGCAGGCCAGGAGTACGCTCTCCATTAACCGCCTGCTGTTGGCTGCAGCCCGATGATGCTGGAGAAACGGTGGACGAGTTGATCTCCTCATCCTCATCGTCGTCATCTTCCTCCTCCCCATCGTCCTCGTCGTACGAGTAATCCTCGCAGCTGTCGTCCAATAGGTCATCGTCCTCTTGCTGCTCCACTCGCGAGCTGTTGTTGACCGATTTCACTGTTGTCTCTACTCCGGCGTAACGCACCATGACTGGCGCCTGCTTCGCACCGCGATCCGGGCTCGGCGGACTGTCCGGGCTGTCCGGCAGCGGACTGTGTGGCGGTTGCTCCGACAACTCCTCGGCCGGTGAGCTGCGTATGCTGAGCAACTCCTGGCTGTGCTGGCCATCGGCCGAGACCACGGGCGAGGTATAGACCGAGGAGGCCACTGAAGATAGGTTGCTGCTCTGGTCGCTGCCATAGAGAGCGGGCAATCGCTGTTGACGCTTAGCCGATGGTGGCTCAAAACCGAGTTCGGGATCCTGCGATAGCAAAGTAAATATTTGTTTTAGAAAGGGAATTATATATCTTAGTGTAACTTTTCCTTATTCTCTTTAAGCATACTAAAGTAAATATGATATATAAAGTAAATAAAACCTATCATTACCATTTCAATAAATTTGCGCTTCTGTTCCAACTTCATAGTAACATGAACAGCACAATGAAAATGATATATGAGTCAGTAAACAGGATCACACGAGTGGCGGTGAATTAAGGACGTGTCTCGAATAAAATTAGCCAAGGATGAAACGTCGAGTGGAAATTTATGTGGGCACGCCTGTCAAAATTCTTAATCCTTAATAGATGGACCGTTGGTTCTCTGTTCGCACCCGCACAAAAATGTTTGAGCCAGGGAGATTGCACACAAAAGATCAAGGATTCGGGATCAGTCTTGGCATATATAGAGGTATAACAATAACACTTTGGTTGATTTGTTCTCGTGGGAGCGGAGTTTGTTTCGTGTATCCCTCAATTTAATCTTTGTATTGCACTTTTGCTTTGATGTTTCAAATAACTGAGTAGCAGCAGTCTTTGGTTATAAATTGTTGGCTTGTTTTGTTTCTTCTTTGGTGTGTTTAAATAATTGTACAACGTGATTTTTGGTTATAACATTTTTGGTTTTGTTTTTCGTTTAGCTGTTGTGCTAGTTGTTGCTGCTTTTGTTAGATGATGATTTTGGCAAATCCGGTTCTTAAATTAGTTCTTTGCACTCAATTGTGATCCATAAATATTTTTCAGTCTTTACTTCTCAGCTACTTGAGCTCGACTTTATAGAATTTTATTATTCACTCCGCTCTTGGCTTGTTCGAGTACCAATCGCGTTGACGTTCGCTGTGCAACTAAGCTGGCTGTGCTCCGTTCCAGATCGCCGATCCCCGATCCCCGGTCCCCGATCGTCGTTATCCTTGTCCGCCGAATGCAACGGTCTCGAATAGGGGTTGCTTTTGCCCCGACAGAGGTTGTTGCAACCCGACGACAGCGGTAAAAACAGGATCGCTGGCAGGCAGCTAGCCGTCTCTTTTCGCTGCTCTGGCATTTGCTCAGGGTTAGGCTCAGGCTCTGGCTCAGGGGTAGTTCCCGGGGATCTGGTCGATCTGGTATCCGGGACTTCTTGAGACGCTGTCGTTGTTGTTTTTGCATTGCATTTTTCGCCTTTGGGTGTTTATCAGCCCAACAACAAATCCCCCCGACCCGATCCTTTTCACAATTATTTTTGTCAACATTTTTCTGTGACTGTGTGTGTGTCCCCAGGTAGACAAGACGCTTGGAAAAATCACTACCTTAGGTAGGTAGTGTGTATATGAATTATTTCTGCTAGTACTTTGGCCAGCGGCTGCATTAAAATCGCCTTATGCATCTTGGAGGCAAACTTCTCTAATAAATTATCTTTTGGCATGAATCTGAGATTGTGATGTGGTGTGGGGCGGGGCGAAAGCCAAATGTAGAGCGAGGCTAATGAATCCTTCGGCCTAGACTCCTTTGAGGAATCGCAAGATTACAGCATGACACAAAGAAAGAAAGAGGGAAAAAACGAATGGAATGGAGACGAAAAATCCAAAACAATTGAAATCCTTGACCATTGTTCCCTGCAGACAGATGATGGAAAACAGAAGCCAAGATCAGAAAGTCCATAAAGTAAGAAAAATGTATACAATATGGTATTTTGTGCTCAGAGATTGCATTATCCAGCAGAAATTCTGCACTTAGTACCCTAAGACAGTGGTGCTCAAAGCCATGACTCAAGAGTCTGATAATTTCTCTGCCTGGCCTCGCAGTTTGTAACTAAATCTAGGGATTTCCTCCGTTAAAAAGCTACTTTTTTAAGACATAACTATTTAAGTACAATATAACAAATAAAGGTTTGAACTTTTTTAACTCGTATCTATTCTATATCTTCAATTCTAACATGTACATGTATTGGCTTTCACAATTCTCTCAATTGTCCGATAAAAGTCGGAAATGATTCATCGACAAAATTTACCACACAAAAATATTATACATAATTTTTATATCAAACTAAATATAGACATTCTAACATATTTCGTAGAAATGTTATTTTATTATTCTGATTAAAATTATGTCAAAGAAAATATCGATTTATTGCTCATTTATTTAAGATATTGATTAATATATCGAATTGGGCATCAAATAATCACAAAAGTATGTGAAGTTTAAATTATTATACTTTCTATAATTAATTAATTACTCTATATATATTCCGTTTAGTTGAAAACCAGAAATTTTGTTAAAAAAACTAATAGTTAGTGGGAAAAAATAAATCATGTCTTACCTAATATTTTTTATATTGCAAATAAAAGTATTCACCTTTATCATGGTAAATAATTATACCGAAATTTATCAAAATGGTACTAGATTGGGTACTGGGTTAATTTTTATAAATAAAGCTAAATAAACATTCATATTAATGGAGTTTTAAGAATATCTCGTAGCTTCATTGCAGAGATAGGCACATAGTGGTTTATTTTAAATCCTAATGCCCATCCATTCGGAATCAATAATTTTGTGAACTTTTATTATTCCTTCTGTTATTTATTTTATTTAACGACTGCAATTGATCTTTGCTTTATATGAGAAAGGAATGCAAGTCGTATAGAATAGTGACTTTTATCAAATTTCGCACATATCAGAACTAGATGCATTTTCGTCAATTTCTTAACTGACAATCTCACACGTCATAAAAGCTTAACAATAATGTGTGGCAAGCAACCCTCCTTCGTAGAAGACAGATTCTCATTAAAGATTTTCACATAATTTGTTGCGTAAAAATGAGGGAAAATTTTACGATATTTATGTGACAATTTTAATTGCCTGAGTAGGTTTGCCTACCCGCCAGCGAAGGAAGGAAAAGAGCTTCCCTCCACACAGTCCAAGTAAATAAATTTTTTTTTGGCATCAAGACAGGAAGAAGGTCCAAGACGCATGACAAATTTAATTTCTTATTCTTCTGGCCAACAACCCTCCAGAGTCGAGGCAGATGATGTAGGTAAGAGAGAATGGCAATGAACACGAAAATGGACATGGATATGGACACATGTCAAGGCACCCAGATGCAATGCAATTAAAATCAAAGCGTGCAATGGCCTAAGAAGCCATGGTCCACACACAATGGCCAATGGACGGGGCATTCCTCTAGCCTTATTATTTCACATCTTTCCTTACATTTTGGTGCGTGGACATTGCATCTGCCAGAGGGATTTGGTCAAGCGTTAAGGAATCGGGAGAAAACTACGATTTCGCTTTATGACATGACGGATTCTGAAGACGAGTGAGTGAATGGGAGTGTGAGAAATTAGTGAACTGTAAAGTGGGCTGGAATCTGGACCAAGGCGAGAGAGAGGGTTGCATCCCAAGTTTAACAAGGGTTAAACTGGGTTGTTGCCCTTAAGCCGCCTCAAGGATTCGGGCCCAAGTCCAGCGGCAGCTGCAGCAGAAATCTCGATCTTTGAAGCCCACAAGACACCCAAACATCTCTCGAGATCTCGCTGGGAGGGAGCTGAGCAGATGATGCAATGCCTCAAGTTATGGGTACATATACATACAAAGCAGTCAAGAAGCGATTGTTATGCGACATCAACCTCAACAATATCCTGCTGCTGCCCCATTGTGCCATCTCTCTCTCTCTCTCACTTGGTGTCCCCTCACACTCTCTATAAAGTCCTGCGCTTATGTGTCGTAATCTTCGACTGCCGCCGTCTGCTCGAAACCGAAACACCTTTAGTTTTCAGACCCTGGCGTGGGTCCAGGTGTAACTTTTTTTCGCCGTTGTCGTGTAATATGCTGCATTGTTGTTTCGTTTTATTTTCCTTTCTTTTTCTTTCCTTCCACTTCCCCCGCCAGGGTCTTTTGATAACATTTAATTCATTTTTTTCTATGGCAGCCATCGATAATTGTTAATATTTTTATATTCAGTAGAGGGGAGAAGCATTAGGAATTAAAAGAAGTTATCTTAAGGGATAAGAGGAAAGGTTCCAGGAACTTCTGAATCTAGATACAGAACTTCAATCAACTTCACAGCTGACAAATTACAACATCCCTTGATGATCGTCACAAACTAGCTCAAGTATCCTGACCACTCTTTTGGGACCTCTCTCACTGCTCTCGTTTTAATAAATGATATGCAAACAACATGCCAACGGACAAATCCCAGAAGGATAATAACAAACACTCATATTTCCTAGCTGCGCCACTGACCCTCGGTCAGTTCGGAAGGGATTAATCCAACACAATCCTTTCGCGGTCACTTGGCTGAATTTTTCATTAGGGAAATATAAATGTTGAGAACTCTCGGACATGTAATTAATCATTCAATTGGTTAGATCCATGACCAAAGGAATTAAAGCATAACCCAACCATAGGAGGGTAAGTGGACAAGGGACAAACCGCGAATGAATTTTGGATGCGAAAAATTTAAATGATAAATTAGCTGAAGTACAATTTCATGTCCTTTATAGGGATTGTCCTTTGGGTGAAATATGAAAGAATTTGATATGACAAGCTTCGGTTTATTATAGATTAATTCGAACCGATTAGAGAGCCAAATAAACTAAACTCTTATGATGTCTACGAAAAGAAATCGCTGAAATTCAAAAACGTTAAGCTAGAAATGTAAAGATTTGTATTATTACTTTAAATCTTCGAATATCTTTTAAGGTTGCACCATTTACAATCGAATCAATAACTTCAATGCTAACCAATCTCGTCTATATCTCTTGTTTACCATCAGTTAAATTAGATCCGATTTGAAATTATACAAAAACTTTGAATTACAAAACAAGCTGTCCCCGATCCCATGTCAGGATGCACAATCTGGGAAACTCTGGGAAACTAGATTTCAATTTCCCACAATCTGCCGAAACTGACTTGACAGAAATCAAGCCCCGCACTTGATTGCATCGCCAAGGATCCTGGTCTTACCCTTGAAGGCAACTCGCTCCTGGACTGTTTCGGGATAAAAGAAACAATGAAGTTTCCCAAGAAAAAAAGAGGGGAAAACTTTCAGCGATTTCATGCTTGCCATGTAAAAAAAACAACGAAAAATTGAAGAAAAAGGGTTTACATTACACTGACAAATTGGTAAAATAATACCATAATTTTGATCCTTGTGCCAGCAGCAAAACAAATATTGTATAATATTTCAAGACCGCATTCCGCAGGAGCAGCGGCATTATGCGTGTCCCGAAAACAGATGACACTGGGCTTTGCTGCAAGGAGCCCAGCCGGATGATTTGCACAAAAGTTTAACGGAAATCTAATGAGCATTTGCATAAGGATAACATGTCCTGAAACGGGGTAGCAAAATGCAACCGGGTCGGTAACCATTTTTTATGGGATGGCGCGCACAACTTCTTCTTTGAGCAGAAGCAAATGTCGTCTCGATGAATATTTAATTAGGAAAGACGATGGAAAAACTGCCGGGCCAGTGATCCTTGAAAAGGATAAGGCGTTGCACAACCCCTCCGTTCTCCGTTCGTGTCTGCGGTTTCAGCTCTGTCCCATTCCGGTAGCCGTCGATCCCTTACCCATCCCGACTCCCGATCCCGTCTTGATCTAGTTCCTCTGCCTCAAGCTAACCTATAACTATCGCAATTTCAAACTCTTCCTTAACGGACATTTGCGCCTTGACTTTCGGTTTCTGGCGCTGGCAAACCCACCCCTGGCCATCGGGAGACGTCCGACTCCGGCTCAAGGTGTGCGCGCATGCGCAACGCCGCCGTCTGTCCTTGGTCGCCTTTGTCCTGCCGTGCATATGCTCAGCATAACTGCCAAGACCCCTTCGGAATTTCTTACCCAACAACAAACGCCTGACAAGGGGGGGCAAACATTACCTTGCCATACGTTTTTTTTTTCGTATGAAAATGACATTTGTTTGGCAGGGAAGTAAGCGCGGAAATATTGCAAAAACAGAAAACAACCCAAACTCGATGGCAAAAAACAAACAATCGGAGAGTTCCTTGGTCGAATCAGTAGATACCCTTGAGGGGAGATTTAATTTAATGGAATATATGTTGAAAATAAAAAAATAATATATGAATGTGAGTAATTTCAAGCAGTAGAAGTGTCTTGTAGTTACTATTAAATTAGTTCATTTAACAAAACCATTTATATAATCAGCATCAGATCCCTGTTTTATGATATATTACATTGTAGATACCTTAGCTAGGGTATCAAAAGTATATATTTTTCAGCAAGTTAATTTCTCCCTTCAATATTTCTTTGGGCACTGAAAGAAATCCTTTGCACCAACACAGCTGCCTGTCGCAGGGAGAAGAAACCATTGTTTCCCGCTTTGATTGCAGCTACTTGAGAGACGATATTCTGACTCTCGAGGCAGAACAGCGGGAGGAACTACCGATTTCCAAGGATGTGCTGCTGCTAAATGAGCCTTTTCGGTAAGTAGCGTTTATTTTTGGGCTCATCCTTGGATTGTTCAAGTAGCAACTACGTGCCCAATGGCTTATTTGGCCAGCTAACTCAAGCATCAAAAGATCAAATGAGGTTCGCCCGGGCAAACCAAAACGAATGGAAGCCATGAAAGGGCTGGGCAATCAAATAAAAGATCGATCTCCAAACAAATATCAGATCCTGTTATTTGAAGAGATCAATGAAAACAAACTAGGAAGTCTGAGAAGGTAAGAGAAGGAGGAGAGGTAGGGTTATTTTTCCCCTAGTATTAATTGTCTTTACAAAAAAACCATGGTAAACCATTAAATAAGCTAAAATCCATGCAATCCTAATTTAAGAAAGTAAGAATGATGTCCTGTAAAGCATAGCATACTTTTGGGGGCATGTGCCAAGGCGTCTCCTAGAGACACCAAGGTCTCTAAAATCATGAAATTTTAAACTATTTTACATTAAATTAAATTATTTATTTTAATCCAGTCTTCAAGCTTATATTTTAATCTATGAAGATCACTGATCGTATACCCAAAAATTTCAAAGGAGTGCCAACATTATTAAATGCCATCATCAATTTATAAATCAATTTGAGATTCCAAACTAAAGTCCAAAGGCTTATTTAAGACACCAATAATTTTGCAAATAAGTAGCTTGATCATCTTCTTCTCAGATCGTTTGGGTCATTGGCACTCTCCTCCTCTTCCTCTCTATCGCTCTAGGCATTTCCTTGATAAGATTGCAAACATTCAACGAGGTCACATGCCCACACCAATGATAATGCAACTTCATTCATAAAACTTATCGCGTACAAATACAGACATTTGAACAACGGATTTGCGTATGAAAACTCACCTTAGCATCATCATTTGAGTCGCTGGTTAAACGCCGTTTACGTTTATTGCCATTGGACGTGGTGGCGGCGGATGGTGAAAAGTTCTGGTTATCACAAGAGCACATCTCGACTCCTTTATTGGTGGACGCCACAGTTCCCCGCTGCTGGTGCTGATGCTGAGCGGAAGATGATGAAACCGATGATGCGGTGCTGGTGGCTGGGGCAACGGATGACGATGGGATTGAACTACTACCACTGCTGCTGCTGCTGACGACGACGACAATGTTGCTGCTGGCTATGCTTCCATTGGGCTCAGTGCTGCTGGTAGAAGAGACACTGAAACAAAGAGAAAGTAAACTAAATTAACAGTGGTTTTTAGGGGTTTTTAAATACACTAAGAGTGTATATATTTTACTTAGAATAGAGGAGATTAAAATACATCAGAATAAACATTTTAAAACGCTTCAGTTTTCAAAGAAATGTATACTAATTTAATAATCAAACTGATAAGACATGTTTAATGAGTTTCTATTTTAGTCTACCAAATGAAATGTTCTCTCTTATTTATGGCAAACTAAGACCACTGTGCAAAATTCCAGGGAAACTGCAGAGAATTGCCATTTGAAATTTCTCCTCATTTGCGAAATAGAGAAATTCAATATGCCACGGAGGCAGGCAGCAAATCACATAGGGGCGTTCATTTTTAAAATAGATACAAACGAAACCAAATGAAACATAAATTCACTGAATTTTGACACGGCTTTCGATGAATCGCGATGCGAGGCTCGAGATTAAGGCGCCCAGCGGATACATTAATATTTAACATCCGGGAAATTGAAATCGAGATGACTGATCGAGGGAAATAAGATCGCGAGGGAAAGCCTTTCCTCCTCAAGCCGAGAGATTGAGCAATTTTGGCAAATTTGCATGCACATTATGCATAATGCATTAGAAGGCTGGCAAGGACGAAGAAAAGAATAGAGTTTCCCTCCTTGAACGGAGGCAGATGTTCCATCCACAACGTCTCAAGTGCCGCCTAGCCAGGGAACTGCACTTCAAGCAATTCGATGCGCGAATTTTTGCAATTTGAGCAAGGAGCAAGAAAAGGAACCGATTGTAACCCTTCTTTGGCAACACGGAAGCCGAGCTAAGGGGATAAAAAACCTAAAAAGGCCTGCCAAGCCATTGGGATCGCAGCCTCCTGTTTTGATCCTTGCCCCGGCGGGCCCTGCACTATCGATCGCGTTTAATGGTTTAATGAACAAGAAAAAGTAATCACGTTGTAAATTACGAGGAAATGAAATCGCTTAAAAATGAGTTATGGCGAGAGAAATTTTTCTCATCGGAGAAAGGACTAATGGAGCGTACGTGCACGAGGAGTTCAAGTTTTTTTTTCTTCTTTCCCGCTTTTCTATCCTTTCCCTTCATGTCTTTGTGTACCGATGCTCGGGGTCAGGGTTCCTGCTCATGTCCGCGGCTAAAGGTTCAAACTGAAATTTGTCATTTCGAGGTGAAAGTTTCCTTTCAAGAAGGAAGCCTGGTTTCAGTGCGGTTTCCCCCTTTTACTCAGGTCGAATCCCTGTAGGTAGCATTGGGCTTAGGGTGATATGATAAGGGAAAACCCTTACTAGTAGTTCCAGGAATATATGGTCCAAACTATCAAAGGATCGATCTTTCTCACATGATAAATTATATCAAACTGTGAGGCAAGGATTTACTGATTTATTAGTTCAGTTCAAAAACACACAACTAAGGTTTAGAAGATGCTTAGTGATAAGAAGCAAATTATGGAAATCGGGTGAGATAGCATATTAGCTTGGAAAATCATTTAGTTTATTTACAAGCTTCCCCTTCCTTTTTTAATAAATTCCGTTATAGATGGCTCTGAAATAGTTTCGCAACACATACCAATAATTATGTCGCACACATTTTAACCACGAAATATGTCCATAAAATGGACTATCACTTAAGTGATCGGTCGGCAGTGGGTGCTTTTGCTGATGATGATGATGTAGAATGCTAAGGGGACGCAACTGACATAACCAAATGACTGGGCAATTATGCAATTATGGTCATGCGCAGGCACCCACGAGCAAAAAAGGAAAGGAAAATACATAGGAGAAGGCGAGTGAAACATATTAAACTCAATTAATTTCTGTCCACCAGGACATTTTGCCTGAAAAAGCCACACAGAAAAGTGCTCGGCAATGACAACATTATCAACCCATGCAACCCCCTAGGCAAATGCAACCCTCTCTTAGGGAAACTCCCAACTGACCAGAACCGACCCACAACTAAACACTTTTCTAATGACATTTCGCGCGCAATTATTTACTAATCACACGCAGGACATTCGAGTCCTGTAAAGGTATGCCGAGTGTAGAGGAATGCGACACTTGGTTATCAACACCTAGAAGCCATCTGTTTCGGGACAGGCAGAACTTTTCTGAAATTGACAGTGAAAATGCATTTTAGATTATCGCACTTGAGTTGGAACAGTAGGATCCCGAAGGTTATAGCTCCTGCGGGTCTCTCCGTCTCTCGGTTTTCCCGGGGGGTATTCGGGCATAACCAGTTGTGGGCCCTGTCACTTTATAATTACGAAATGGCTATTAGATAAACATCACTTTTGGTTAGGAGAATTAAAGAGACCCGATGGTGGAGACACTACCAGGATAGTTGGTGGTAAAAAGGAAGTCGAAGTCGATCGGATGTCGCCACAGGAAGTCGCGCAGCGGCATTGAAATTTTGTATTAGATAGTCGCCTTTTTGGCTTTCATGTGGGGTGTTAATTAGTTTGGCCAAGACAGAAGAGGAAACTGCAGTCAGGAAAATGTGTGCTGATGGGAAATGGGAAATACAAAAGGCTAGGGAAAACATGCAGGTTGCTGAACGAAAACTATAAGAAAGGTTCAAGATTAAGGGCTTCAATATAATTTGTATGGTTTTTTACCAAAAATTTCCTGAAACTCTGAAATCATAGAGATATTTATAAAAGGATTTACGAGAAATTAGTTGTTCTTTATATGCAACATTGGAAACATCTTTATTGCTTTTAAATATTTTTACAATAGCGTTTTTTGGTATAATGTTTACCTAATTAAGTGTAGAGAGAAGTAAAGATTATTTATCAATTAAGAAATATTTAAAATATTCAAATAAATAAATATTTATGTAATATTAGTGATTACTTACCTCTTGGTATCCACACCCATAATTGTACGGCCTTGATAAGCCGTTGAGGTTTTTTAGTCTTGTATTTTAAGTAAAGTGCTCTCCAAAAGCACTATAGTTTTTGTGAAATTAAAATTATTTAAAGAATCTGCAAGGAAAATAAATAAATTTTAATTGAGTTGAAAGAATAGCAAAAGTAATAATATACAGTTGAAATCAAAATGGTTTTCCAGCAAATGCCAAGGATATGGTCATCACATGTGATCCTTACTTTAGTTTTTACGACTTGACATAACCTATCAACAGTTAGTCCCGCATTATCTCTATAGGTCCTTGCAGGAGAAAAACAACATATGATCCTTAAGAGCAGCAGAGAGTAGAGATCGAACACACACAGCATGTGGTCTCAGGGAGTTTCCCAGTTTATTTTTTCGAAAACCCAAAACAAATTTGTTTACGTGAGTTTTTCTTGAAAAACAATACGAGAGAACTTTTTGCTTTTAGCAACACAAACGTAAAGTAAATATTTTCCAATGGGTGCAAAGATATTCAAATTATGGGACCTGAGTTTTGGTAGGAAATGCCTTGGGGTTGGGTCATCTAGGACAGGTAGACATGTGATGGTCATTTTTCCTTAATATAATCGAATTTCCACGAGTCTCAATTGATGCCTTCTGCTACAGCTGCTTTAGAGTTTCCTCTACACTCAAAAAAATGTATAAGACATAATATTTTATATTGTAAAATATGTGAAACTACACCCAAGAAAATGGTACACAAAAAACAAAAATTTTATTAAAATTAACAGTTTTGTTGATTTCTGGGAATGTTTAACTAACTATTTGTGCATCTGCTGTTATTTTCTTTAAGGATATTTCAGAAACATATATTTTGGGGGCTCATTTTCTCAGTGTTCGGGTGTCAGGTGCTTGGTGCATTCGGCGCATGCGCAACGTCAACCATTTCCAGTGGTTTATACACAACGCGCTTAATTATATCGAGTAGTCGGATCCCATTGCCCGTAGATCCCCGTAGATGCACCTGTTGTGGCTAGAGGAGTTGATCGTTGGCCTTCTGTTCGAGATCGGGATGCGGGCAGGTGAGTATCGAGTGAGAGGGGAAGAGAGTGGCAGCGGCAGCTGGTCGGGGACCTACCCCACACCTTAAAAGGATTCCCGGCTTTGTGTCTCTGCAACGCGTTGCTGTAACTTCAATTGACTTCCCCCTCGCTAATTGTATCCTGTCGCGTTTCCTTGCCCCTTCCTCCTAGCTTCCCTTTACTTCCTTCATTTATTTTCCTTTTTTATATTCTATTTTCCTTTCTTTTCTTCAGTCGGCTGTGTGACATATGGGCCTGGCGTTATATTTGCCACGATTTATGGACCTCCCTTCGGCCTGCCATTCAGTTCGACACCTTTTCCTACCCCATAAACGAATGCTTTTTAGTTAACGACTTGCTTTCTCTTGCTTTCTTATTCTTATGCAAGTAAACGATCTTTTATATTTTTCTCTCTATTTTCGCTTGTTTTTCTCGGGTTTTCCCATGCACAATATTTTGCTTTTTCCAACCATCATTTTCACACTAATTGCGGATATGCCTTCTAATTAATTGGGTTCTCTCTTCCTTCCCGATGTTGTTTCTGCTTCGTGTTTTCTTTTTGAGTTTTCAACCCTCATGGGCTAGTTTTCTTTAAAAAAAAAAAAAGGTTGAAAAGAATGTTTTCTACTAAAGAAGAGCTCAAAAGATCTGCAATACATCTTATATCTTATATATCTTCCTGAAATAATGTGCAATAGAACTCAGATACCTATATTGTGTGCATGTAAATTGGGTTAATATAGATTAAGATCAACCCCTGAGATACATATTTCGAAAAGCACATAAACAGAGCTCATGCTTTCTTAATAATTCCTAGATTCTTTATCTTAAAAGAAAAGTAATCAATTAACAGGAGATTTAACAAACTAAATGCTGCTAAACGGACATAAACAATATTGGGAAGATAGAAAATGTATCTACATACTTTTATGTTAGGAACATTCTTCCCGAGTTGACAGGGGTAAGCTGCAAACAAATGACTTTATTTAGGGACAACGTCAGGTCTAAATACCATCGACTAACATGGATAAAGGACTAACTAATTGCATGAACTGCCCACACGCAGGCTATGCAATCCAAAGGAACCCCTAGCACAGCTTCCTCTAATGAAGATTAAGTGAAGAGCGCTGCGAGTTCCGAAGAATTCCGCGGCGACAGGTATACAAATATGAATAATGCCGGGCAAATCGAGCGCTGGGTAAGATATCTCAAGAGCCGGGTCAGGCTTCCCAGGGCTTCCTCTCAGCGCCTAATTATGAAGCGATGCATAGCCAAATCTGTGTACCTGGCCGGGGTCCAAGGTCATTCAAATAGAAACGCGAACGGATTTAACTGGAAACTGGAGGATTTTCGGCAAATCCGAGGAGCTCCTCCACCAAAATGTTGTATTTGTTTTGCGCGGAAGATTTCCCACAGGGAAATGGACCAGAAGGAAGCCGAGATACAAATAGAGACTCCGCTCTTCCTCTCTCTCTCTTGAAATGCAATGCAACTTGAGGCAATGCAAAGAAGAATGCGCAAAATGTGCAAAGGAGAGCGCAAAAACAAAAAACAATATGTATGTATCTGAGTATCTGTATCTGTATATAGGGAGGAAAACAGGTCTCGAGTTATCCGGGGGTCCCTCTTGAGACGCCTTCTGTCCTCCGTCCTCAGTCCGTCTGGGCCTGCGATTTTTGTGCGTCCTTTTTTCGGGTCGGGCCAAGTGAGTGCGAGTTACATTTTGGGCTGTGCACATGCGATACACGATGAGATACATTCCAGAGATACTCGAGATAAATGCACATTGTGTCTTGGTATGAGTAAATGCTGCGTTGTCAATGCCACTCTGCCCCCTCTGCCTTTTTGTGATTTTGTTGTGGTTTTGGCTACATCTCTGCAATTAGTTGGAAATCCAAGTGCCGACGACTGGGACTCCAATTCCAACAAAAAGGGAATATGATCGAACATCTAGTATATTACATATCACGGAATCGAACGAATATAGTGGTTTACGATTTTAAACAATGAACAGATCAGGGTTTAAAATAATGTTGCATACTGTAGGGGGCAAGGGAGCAAGTTTCAACGATAACTATTATAAACTGGAACATTTATCGATAGAATCGATAAAAGATGAGAATTAAGGTTATAGGTATTTAAAAATATATGTTTCTTTAAATCTTATGATTCTTATAAATCCCGAAATGTACTAGTAATTCCAAGAAAATACCTAGTTTTTAATTGACTTTCTTATTTTCCATAGTAATTTCAAGACTTCATTATGGGTGCATTGCAAATTAACAATTTTCAATAGCATTTTAAGGTTTAAGGACTTTTCAAACTTAATTATACAAGGTTTACTCCTTTTAAACATTGTAAAACAAATCTACAATTTAAATCTCTCAAAAAATATAGAATTTGAAAGCTTTATTTAAAGCAACCCAACTGTCTAAGGAACTTGAATATACCCTGCTTTCGTAAAAGTAAGAGGAGCAGAAATCGAAAACAGGAAAGTCGATCTCTTTGAGGTCTTCTCCTGTATCTGTATCTGTGTATTTGAGCATCTATGTGTAAGTGTATCTGAGTATCTGTGCGTCCGGCATCCAAAAAGAGCGCCGTCTGGGCAACGGCGTGTGAAAGTAAAGCAAGGAAAGGGACTGCGAGGAGAGCGAATCAAAGTTCTTGAATGGAGCGAAGGCAGCGGCGGCGGCGGCGACGGCGTTCCAGTTCCAGGAATCGACGGCCTTGAAGTAGCCGTTAGGACACAGAGTCGAGCTCAATTGACTATTTAGTTTATATTTAGCAGCGTCTAAAAGGATGCCCTCTGCCAGCTCAAGTGGCCTGCGTCCTGTCCTGCATATCCCCTCCCCTCCACACCCCTCCCACCAACTCTCCTGGCCGGACTAGACGACTATCCTTTGTTTGCCTGGGAATAACTGGAAATTGTTTATCATTGTTGTTTCTGCTCCGCCGTCGTCGTCGTCGTCGCAGGGCTTCTTTTGATTTCCAGCGGATCTTCTTCTGCTGGAAGATCTCCTCGGAGAGCGACAAAAATGCGGCATAAATTTCGATAAACGTATAGACAATAAATAAAAATGCCCACATATATGCTCCCATTTAGGTACGAGGAGGCACTCAGTAGTCACAACTCATCCTTGGATAGCTTGTAATATCTGGCCAGCCATTCCGCACTTGTAATTGAGAAATATTTTTGGTATTTTACCAGGAATTCGGGTTAATATGGGCAGGTGATATGTGTGACTACAAAGGATGAGGAATGAGGATCTCGAGTATGATGAGAAAATATTACAAATGACTCTTTGCTTCCCATATCATCCACAAATCCTTTTGAAATCCTGCCGCTGGCCAAGGTGGCAAGAAGCACTTGATTGGGACAAGTGTTGGTCAAGCCTCCACATGGAAAAGAAGGGGGAAAAGGTGTTGGCCAGGATTTGAATAGTTTTTGTATACCAGAAATGTTTACTTGGGGAAAACAAATGAGCACTTTCAAATGTTTACAAATAAAATTGTGAAAAAGTATATAAATATAATGAAGGAAATAAAAGGTTAAGAAAAAAAGAAATTATTTCAGTATTTTTAAAACCTTTGATTGAAAAATCAAAATACACATGCCTAAGCTGTAGGATTTCTATTAGCTTTTCACACAGCATATTTTCTTTGAGAATATAAATAAGTAACATTTTCTGTAACCGAATAACTTCTATAAAAAAAAAATAATGAAACTATATTCGTTGCAGTTTGCAATTAATTTATAAAATAATATATATACGAAAGTGGAATCTATAATGTATGATTACTAAGCTTAAAATATAAACAAAAAAAGCATAAATTTTAATTTTACAAATTTAAGGAATATTAACTGTTAACCTTAATTGGTATTTTTTACTGCCGAAGATGCTGCTGATGCTGATCAAGAATGTTTATAATTAATAGAGTTAAAAATGACTCCTTCACAGCGTTATAAGCTTCCGACTAAAATTACAATACCCTACAAGGGTATAATAAGAATTATATATTAAATTAGTAATTAATTATAATTTTATAAACGATATTTATTAACGATCAATCGTTAGAAATCAGGTTCAGGGAAATAAGCTAACTATCTTGATAATAATAATACTATAATTTCATATACTAATTACCTTATATATTATTCATTTCTTGTTCTATATCTTCCACTGGCAAGATCTCTCTTTAACGGCTAACGAAAAGCCAAATTTCGGCCGATCATGACATAATCCAACACGAAACACAAAACAATTAAATATACAAAAACCAACCCCATCAACAATTTACCACCCACCCCCGCCCGCTCTCCACGCCACCACTCACAAATTCAACAAGTTTTTTAGCAGCGCAAAAAGCAAAGACGCAAAAAAGCTTGCCAAAAAGAATGCGAAAAAGCGCGCAAAAAATAACAAAAAAAAAAAAACGAGTAGAAAGTAGAAGCAACGAAAAAAAGACAACAACTAAAGAAATTGTAGCAGGTAAATGGAAGTAGAAGAGGAGCCGACAAGAGGCGGGGGCAGAGAGGGAGTGGGCGAGGGAGAAGCAATAGCGAAGCAAAAGCACAGAGAAATATCAATGAACTCCATTCTTGACTCTGCACCGCTCTGGCCCTCGCGCCATCTCGCTCCCACCTCGTATGTACATAGAGTTACTACCAACGTTTTTTTGCGCCACTTTTGACATAATTCTGTTTCTCTGCCCGCTTTGCTCGCTGCTTCTTTGCCGTCTTCGTCAAGTTTTCAAAAGGTTCCAAGTTTTGCGTTGAACTTTTCCCGCCGTCGCAGCGGCAGCGGCAGTGGCAGCGACAGCGACAGCGCTGTAGCAGTCAACAACAGCAGCGCTGCCCAAAAGGTTTTTGTTTGTTGTTGCTGCAGCTCGCACTCACACACACACAAACATATTCAAGCTGGAGAATGGTGAAAGACGTAGGGGAAAAAGGCAGACTCGCTGCTGTTCTGATTGGAATAGAACGGAAGAGCGCGCTTCACAGTGTGCGTGTGTGCATGACAAAGAGAAAGACAGAGAGAGACCGCGCGCTCTTAGTGGGAGAGCGGATCCCAGTGTGTGTGTGTCATTGGAGGAGCGTATATAAATGAAATGAGCATGGGGGAAAGAATGGAGAAGCACAAAGTGGCGCGAATTAGGCGTTTGGGCTGGCGCAGTTTTGTTTTACCGCCCAAAATCTATGCGAATGGCGGGAAAGTGCAATTCGGGCGGGAGAAAGATTAGAAAGTTGTCCCCCGTCCCCGGCCGCTGCGGCGCAAACAGCAAGCTTGAGCCACAACCACACTATTTCGACAATTGGGCCTGCATCTCCACTAGACGAGAAACCAGTTCACTGAACTCGATATACCCACTTGGACTTGTAATGGTCTTCTTATTAGTATCTGGTAAACACTTATAGCAATTGTATTCTTATTAGGATATCTCCCACCACTTTTGGTTTTTGAAACTGCACATCCGTGGGCTTCCAATCAGAATCCAACGGTTAAATCCCCTAGCGTGTCAATTTTCTTATGAGCCTCCACTTCGCCGGAATGTGTTGTATTTGTAGCAAAAAATGCAAAGACACGACGACAACCGCACGCAGCCTTCTCTCCCACTTTCCCCCGCACGTACCGCCCACTCACACACTCTCCTCGCTCTGCACACACATTTACACACACCCGAACACTTGTCACACACTCGCGTCATAGGTTTTTTTTTCTACTTCTTCCTCACTTTTTCACCGTAGAATTGGTCGGAATTGTGCAATTCTTTTACCTTTGTACAGATAATCGATGTTGGGAAAAGGCGTTAGATTGCTTTTCCAACGGATTCCAGATAGATTGAACCGATTTTTCGCCGTCGTCGTCGTCGTCACACGCCGGCCACGAAAACTTCACGAGCGACGGCAGCAGAGTGATCCCCCAAATTGGTGGAACTGCCGGCCTCTGTCGCTGGCGCTGCTGCTTGCTCTCCGCTCTGCCGGCGGCGACGTCGACTGCGGCGAGTGTGCAAGAGGAACGCGCCAAAACAAGCTGATCAGAAGCGCCAAAAACTGCAACAACCACACGGCGGCCGTGTGTTGTAGTTGTTGGTAGCTCAACTGACATTTCCAGAGGAAGAGCGCGGCAGAGCGGCGGAGAGAGTGAGAGCGGGCGATTCTCCCGCGCGAAGCAGCCGCAAAAAGCGAAGGAATGCGTAGGGCAGAGCGAGATGGAAGAGCCATCTCCGCTGGTGGCAGGCTTCGCATTTTATTGAATGGAGTCTGCAATTGGAGCCTGCCATAAAAAAATGGGGACGCCAGCCACCAGACTCCAATTGGATGGGGGTAAACGGTTAAACAGCTGACAGCGCTGCCAGCAGGGCGGAAATAGAAGCCACGAAGATTGAATATTATAAACTGATACAAAATTACTTGAAGACATTTCTTGTATTAAATTGCTAGACATGGCCAGAATATAATATTTCGAAAAAATGTTTAAAATTCAAGAACTACAATCAACCAGAAACGGCTAAATATACGCCTTAATTCATTAAAATCCTTACCAACGTGCCAGCGAGGAATCAATTAAATATCCCGTAAAACTTTGCCCTTACAAATTTCAGCAAATATTTAATATTGAATCAATTGAATGAACTTGTCAAAATATAACCTGCAAGAACACATGATTGTCGCTCTCAGTGTCACCCAGGTGGCAACTCTGCCCGACACCCAAACAAACCGCTGCCACTTTGTTGTTGTCATCGATTACGATTTCATCGTTTTTGGCACCAACTTCGAACGCCTGCCAGACCACTAAAATGACTAAAGCCCCAGCCGAATTTATATACAATGGAAAGCGGAAAACCCACAGAATCAGATTTTGCAATTAAACCGAAAATCAGGTTAAAAACAGAGAAATTAGGAACATTCAAAGTTGACGATTTCCCGCGCGCGGGAATGCCGCGCTGCTGACAGAGCACTGACAGCTGAGGCCGAGTTGCGCGCGCAGAGCCGAGGTGCGAGAGCGGCGAGAGAGAGCGAGTGAGCGAGATTAAGAGAGCGAACGGTGGCAGAGGAAAAAATAAAAACGTGAGGCAGCAGCGACGTCGACGTTTTTTCACTGGTAGAATGTGGAATAAAGGGCAAGAAAAAATGTTAAAACCAACGGAATATTGGGGAATCCGGCGGCCTGCACCTGCTCCTCGAACCCGCCCCACGACTAACTGCCAGGTGGCGATCACTCACCTGTTCCTGGGCTCCACTCCACGACACAGTACGGCATATAGCAAACACACGCGGCTCGGATCTCAGACTGGGGATGATGATGAAAAAAATTGCACACACCGCCGCGCACATACACCAGCACACACAGCCACGTCCGTCCGCAGTTTCAGTTTTTCGGCAGCTTAACCTCCGGCAAGTCAAGGCCAGATCGTAGGGAGTTCTTTATGTCTGTCTGCGGAGCAATCCGCCTGCGGTCCGGAGTGGTTTCTGCCCGTTTTTCAGCAAACTCAAACGAAACGAAACACACTATTGGCGACGTGCGACGAGAGAGAGCGAATCGATTGATCGTGGTCCCCACTCTTTTTCTCTTTACAGCTATACCAATGTTGCCAGTTTAGCTTGATTCTGGCTATATCTGGCATATTTGAAAACAACAAAGCAATTAGCTTGTAGCCTTAAAAATTGCCTATTTTAGCCCTCTACTTATATTAAGCCATAGGCATTTCACTTTAAATAATTTTTTGTTTTGATAAAACGGCACATATGCTTAACCGTTTATTAATGATTGTTTCGGTCGTTTTTGTAGAAGCGTTTCAAGCTGATGATGAACAAAAGAGAATTTTCGCTAAATTTTATATTAAATTACCTATACTAAAAACCCATTTATCGCTGAAGACTTTATTTTTCTAAATGAATATAAAGCTTTCTTGAAAACAAAAATTTAATATAAAAACAATTTTAATTGTGTACAGCTATGCATAAGATCCTCTATTTCATGAAGAAACTTAGAAAGCCCTAATATTTTACCCGCCAAACTATTTCCAAATATATAATTTGAAATATATGTATAATATTTTTACCTAAGTAAAAACTTATTTCCATACAACATATTTTGTTCCTAATTATTTCTATGCTCCTGTAGAGCATATACTATTATATATTATATCAGACAAATATAGATAAAAAATATAGATAATATTAATACTACGTGGGTTTTTTATAAAATATGTATGTAAATACAGTCAGTATTTGCGGACATGGTGTAATTACATTTACTTTACTATTAGACTTTTATCTTAAGGAAAAGAAAAAGTTTTTAAAATAAGACAAAAAATACTATGTATAATTGGGGCAACAAATGTAATGCAGCGGTTACGACTAGAGTTTCTTTAGATATTTCAACAAATCTATTGTTTTTTCGTTTCCAAATTGTGCTGTTTTCGAACCGAATCTGGCGTAATTAAGATAAATAATAATGTATACTGTGTAATTTGTATAATTTATATACAAAATGTATAATATAAAGTGTATAATTTAGCAGGTTTTAGCTTATTTTTCTCAGAATCTAGCTTATAACGGTTGGCAACACTGAGCTATACCCTTGCGAGAGCCGATTCAAAGAATCAGCCAGATTATAAGTCAATCGATAGTCTCGAGCATGCGGCTATCGAAGCTACTATAGATCGAAATTTGAAATTCAACAACCGCCGTTTTTAATTAGCCATGTTTACCACCTTTTTTTCCGATCTGATTTGTAAATGAAATCAATCAACTTCATGATGTACTAGAATAGTTATACCCTTTATCATTAACTTTTTGAATATAATAAACAAGTATTTTGACATGTTTTCCAATGTGCTCTACGCGTTTGCTCAGTTTCGCCCAGCGTTGCCACCTTATAGAAGGTGGCGCCCTTATGGAAAAGCGCGCAGCTTAAATTGACAATTGGTTACAACACAGTAATACCATTATGTTTTTGGTTTTCACTGTAGCACATACAAACATATTTTTAACCACTTAAGTCAGATAAGGCTTTTCTTCTTTTTTTAACAAGCCGAGCTTGAATTTTGTTATTTAAACCTTCTCATTAGGCCATTTTTGTATTATAAAAACTTCATTTTTGGATTATTCATCATATCGACACGAGATACAGACGCACTAAGCGACGCTTTATGTATTTTCATAATGGGTTTTAAATATATATTTGTATATTCTTTTAATTTGTTGATTTTTTCAACATTTTTATATCACTTTTTAAATTGAATATTTTAAGCTCACATTTTGCCAATTGTTTTTACAACTTTTATTTTTATATCATCTTTCAACTATAAACATATCCATTGTATTAGTTTAATGTGGTATTTTAATGTGTTATTGTATTATTATTGTATTAACTTGGTTTAACTTGAAATTATGCTTTTTAAAAGGATTATTAATTATTATACGACTTACTTTAATTCAAAGGCATTCTTTCTTTAATTTTATTAATCTGTTTTCTTATATGCAAATATTGCTTTGTTATTAGTAATTTATATTTTTCAGGTATTCACTTAAAATGATTACAAAATCAATATATTTTTTAGTTTTCAATAAATTTTCGGATATACGTAAATTTATTATTTTGTTGTTTATTTTTCCTTGTAATTTAGACCGATACATACACTTTAGAAATGTAAACACACATTAAGTTGCGTTATAATCTAATAAAAGATTTTTTTAATCCGATTTAAATTTGTCTATATATTATTTTTTGTATGTTACTTACACCACACTTTTATTAGAAATTAACATTTTGTGAGAGCTTGATCAGCACCATTGGTGCCTGGTTAAGCTCGAAAATGCAAATAAAAGAAAGTGACCGATAATTAACAATTCAACCGAATTGAGCACACTCGGAAAGTGCTGGGGAAGCTTTTCGGCAAAGTAAAAGCCAACAAAAAAGAATATCCGCCAAACGCAGCAGAAAAACCTCTTTCACAGCAACGCCGCGGTAATGACAAATCTCCAATCCACACACTCCATCACTTCTCATTCGTCTTCATCTGTGTTTTCGTTTCCATATTTATTGCGATTTTTGTTTTGATATCATTAATTTACGTGTTTCAAACTTAAGAAAAATCACTAAGCCAGCAGTAGAACGATTTGCAGCCTATACGGGCGACTGCTTGAAACCACGGGCCGCGTAATCGGAGGGCGCCGAGCGATCGGATACCTTGGGATATCCCTCATCTCCGGGAACGCACGCCTTGCGGGAGGAAATCACGCGCCAACCGCCCTTGCGGGTCCAATCCTAAGAGGGGAATATATTATCGGTTATTTCTATTATTAAAATAATGTTAAAAATGCAGGGGTATAATAATATAAAACTAGATAGTTTGTTAACCATCGGAAAATTACTTAGATCTCATTATTCTTAGTTGAGTTTAAAGTTACTTTAAGAATTATGGGTGTTTAAGATTATATCCTATTGGTTAGTTGTTCAGACTTCTATAATATTTAAATAAGCTTCGGGTAAGTATTGCCAATCTATCAAAACCTAGCCTTAACTGAAGACTAGACAATCCATTTACACATAAGAACTACATTTCCATGATTAACAATGTACAGTAAAGTTTTATCTGTCGTTGTGAGCAGAGACAGGACAGAGAAACATAATAAAAATATCTTTGAGATCTTAAAAACCAATACGAGCCATACCAGGGCCTCCCGAACTACCTTCCTAGTCAAAATAAGCGCCATTTACTCACATTCTGATTGTACTTGAAGTAGTAGGCGGTGGCGTAGATTCCGGTGAGAGCCAGGAGCGCCTTTCCGGTCCAGAAGCGCACCGTGTACGCACGCTGGAAGCCCTGAAATGCAGCAAGCAACAGTTACTCCTCTGTACCTAAGATCCGCCTCAGATCGAACAATTCAGCCCGTTTTTGTCTTGATTACATAAGCGGGCTCAGCGCGTAAACTTACCAGGACTGGCGTTAATATGTTGCAGACCTTGTCCAGCGGTGCGCGGTAGAAACGCTTAATGGGGTTGTTCAGCTCCAGCTCCAGGGCGGGCACCTTGCGCGGTCCGTGGTGCAGCTCCTGGTCCTTCAGCCACTTCTTGCGCCAGGCGCGCTCCTCGGGCGACATACCGATCAGGCGCTCCCGCTCGCGCACCATACGGCCCGCAATGGCCATCGGCTTCACGCCGCCCGTATCTGAGGCACCACCAGCCACCATTTTTAGCTTATTGTTTCTGGGACTCTGCGGAAATTGTTGTTAAAAACGGCAACAAATTGTATAATTTTACCAGGCACCGTGCAATGGAAAAACCAGAACAGCTGTTCGGTAGTGTGGCCGTTGTTTAGTTCGGAAGAAATGCCTACTTTTTAGCTATTTTAGTTGTAATTGAGATTTAAGCAGTGGAAATACAAATAAATGTATTTGAAACAGTCTTCTTTTTATTTTTAATTAATTATTTTTTTTAAAGCTTTAGTTTTACTAAATTTAAATATTATTTAAAAATATATTGCTCTGACTCCCCCACCCTTTTAAAATATTAAGTTAGAAATAGCTAGAACCCGCACCAGTGAAATTGGCAGCACTAACCATAATCGATAATTTCTACAAACGTATAACGTGCGTTATCGGCAATCGGTGGTTCACATGTTTTGCGGCGTGCGTTGAAATAGTTTATTAAAAATAAAGAATACGCGCAAAGAAAGGCATGGACATTGACGAGCTTTTTGACTGCTTCAACGAGGTGGCACCGGAGAGCCTTAAAGATCCTCCACCGGCGTTCACCAAGGAGCTGAAGCAACCGGCGGAGACTGGCGGCACCCAAGACGTGAAGAAGGCGAGCAAACGCCAAGTGAAGGAAAAACATGAGGCGAGTGATGCGAAGGCAGACGATAAAGAGGAGACCGAGGAGGAGCCCACGAAGCGGCTGAAGCAGGAAGGCAAAGTCAGCAGCGAGGAAATGGAGGAGGAGTCGAAGGCGGAGGCGGACGATGGCGTTAAGGATGAAGAAGAGGAGGATTTGGCTAACCTGGAGGCCTTAAGCACGCGCATTGTGACCCACGTGATAGATTCACCCGAATCGTGTACACACGAGGTGGCCGTCCATCCCGACCAGGAGTTCATACCCCTGGAGCCGTTTAACGGTGTGCCGGCCAAGGAATACGCCTTTGTGCTCGATCCCTTCCAGCGCGAGGCAATCAAGTGCATCGACAACAGCCACAGCGTCCTGGTCTCCGCCCACACATCGGCGGGCAAGACCGTGGTGGCCGAGTATGCCATCGCCAAGTCGCTGGCCGCAAAGCAGCGCGTAATCTACACTACGCCCATCAAGGCTCTGTCCAACCAAAAGTTCCGCGAGTTCACCGACGAGTTTAAAGACGTCGGTCTGGTCACGGGCGACGTAACCATCAATCCGTCAGCCTCATGCCTGATCATGACCACTGAGATTCTGCGGAACATGCTTTATCGGGGCAGCGAGATCATGCGCGAAGTGGGTTGGGTGATCTTCGATGAAATTCACTACATGCGCGACAAGGAGCGTGGCGTCGTATGGGAGGAGACCCTCATCCTGCTGCCGGACAATGTGCGCTATGTGTTCCTTTCGGCCACCATTCCGAATGCCCGCCAGTTCGCCGAGTGGGTTTGCCACCTGCACAAGCAGCCGTGTCATGTCGTCTATACCGATTACCGGCCAACACCGCTCCAGCACTACATGTTCCCAGCCGGTGGCGATGGCATCCATCTCATTGTCGACGAGAAGGGACATTTCAAGGAGGACAACTTCACCACAGCAATGGCGGTGCTTTCTACTGCGGGTGAGTAGGAAAATTCTAATTAATCAGATTGCCATGTCTTAAATCCCTCCTCCAATAGGTGAGGCTGCCAAGGGTGATCAGAAGGGACGCAAGGGCGGCATGAAAGGCGCGAATGCGGATCAGACGAACATTTTCAAGATCGTCAAGATGATCATGGAGCGCAACTTTGCTCCGGTCATTATTTTCTCATTCAGCAAAAAGGAGTGCGAGGTCTATGCGATGCAGATGGCCAAGCTGGACTTCAATTCGGCGGATGAGAGGAAGCTGGTGGACGAGGTTTTCAATAACGCCATGGACGTGCTCAGCGAGGAGGATCGTCATCTTCCGCAGGTGGAGAATGTGCTGCCCTTGCTCCGTCGAGGTGTTGGCATCCATCATGGCGGCTTGCTGCCCATTCTCAAGGAGACCATTGAGATCCTCTTCGGTGAGGGTCTGATCAAGGCCCTCTTTGCCACCGAAACCTTTGCCATGGGCCTCAACATGCCGGCCAGAACGGTGCTGTTTACAGCTCCCCGAAAGTTCGATGGCAAGGACTTCCGTTGGATCAGTTCCGGCGAGTACATCCAGATGGCGGGTCGTGCCGGTCGTCGCGGCTTGGATGACAAGGGAATTGTGATCCTGATGATTGACGAGAAGGTATCTCCGGCCGTTGGTCGAGAAATTGTGCAGGGCAAGGCTGATCCCATTAACTCTGCCTTTCACCTTACATACAACATGGTGTTGAACCTGCTGCGCGTGGAGGAGATCAATCCGGAATATATGCTGGAGCGGAGTTTCTACCAGTTTCAGAATCAGGCCGCCCTCCCCGGACTGCATGAGAAAGTGAAGAAGAAGACTCAAGAGCTGAACAAGATGAATATTAAGGACGAGCACAATATTGCCTCCTATCACCACATTCGCTCCGAGCTGGATCTCCGCGGCAAGCAGTTCCGACAGTGGATCACAAAGCCAAATTACTTGCTGCCCTTCCTGCAGCCCGGTCGGCTGGTAAAGGTGGCTGTAGGCACACAGGAATACGATTGGGGCATCATTCTGAATTTTAAAAAGCAGGACCAAAAACGAAAAAACCCCCTGAAGGACGAACCAAGCGTTACCATCGACGTGCTGCTGCATGTGAGCGAAGCGGCCGCCAAATCCGGTGACACGGAGCCGTGCCGGCCCAACGAACGTGGCTGCATGGAAGTGGTTCCGGTGTCCAATACACTCATCACTCAGATCAGTTCGATCCGCGTGTACTTCCCCAACGATCTGCGCAGTGCAGACAATCGGAGGGCCGTGCTTAAGACCATCCAGGAGGCCAAAAAGCGGTTTCCCTTGGGGCCGCCAGTCCTTAATCCCATTGATGACATGAACATCAAGGAACGCGAGTTTCGGGACATTGTGGACGGCATCGCCCAATTCGAAAAGCGGCTGGAGGATCATCCACTGCACCAGTCGCCGGAGTTGGAGAAAATTCATCGTAGCTACCAGGACAAGGTTAAGCTGCAGACAGAACTGGGCGACCTGAAGGCCGAACTGAAGGCCGCCAGGAGCTTGTTGCAAATGGAGGAGCTGAAGCACCGGAAACGTGTACTTCGCCGGATGGGCTACTGCAAGCCGGGTGATGTCATCGAGTTCAAGGGCCGCGTAGCTTGCGAACTGAGCTCTGCGGACGAACTCCTGATGACAGAGATGATCTTCAACGGCGTATTCAACGAACTCACTGCCCCTCAGGCGGTGGCCCTGCTCTCCTGCTTTGTCTGTGACGAGAAGTCCGCCGAATCGCCCAAGAGCGCCACAGAGCTATCGGGACCACTGCGCTCCATGCAGGACCTGGCCCGACGCATTGCCAAGGTGTCCACCGAGTGTAAGCTTGATTTGGACGAGGACACATATGTGGACAAGTTCAAGCCTTTCCTGATGGACGTTGTGCTAGCTTGGTGCAAGGGTTCCAGCTTCATGACTGTCTGCAAGATGACCGACATCTTTGAGGGTTCCATCATTCGCTGCATGCGCCGACTAGAGGAGCTGCTGCGGCAGATGTGCCAGGCCTCCAAGACCATCGGCAATACGGACCTGGAAAATAAGTTTTCGGAGGGAATCCGTTTGCTCAAGCGCGACATAGTATTCGCAGCCTCGTTGTATCTGTAGGACCTTAGAGAAAGCTAGTTTATGTGCACCCAAGTTAATCTGTCGGAATTATTATAAAGGAAGAGACTGGCAAACCCTCTATATACATTTATAAGCAAAAAAGTTATGTTGGACGAACTTTAGTGTAAGAGGTGGCAGTCCCACTATGGATTGTTGAAAAACTGGAATTACTTTGTATATTTTATGTTTATATGACTACCGAAATACCAGAATAAATAAGAACCCCGTTTCAAATTAATTTGTGAGTGTTTTCTTTAAATGCATTAATGCCAGATAGCAAAAGTCTATCGGCTGTTTATTCAGAATTTTTCGCTTCCACTACTAAAGCTCATCAGCAAAATACACTCATTATCAGATTATATTTTATATTAATATATTAATTAATTATTTTAAGACAATTTATAAATAGAGAGGTATGTCAGTATTTAAAAAAGGTCAAAGTCTATTCAAATACATATATCGTTCATAATAAATCGAAAAGATCGTAAAGTTTAAATTTAAAAAATTCAGAAATTTTGTTAATTTATCGAGATTTTCGTCTCATATCGATAAAAAATCGATGAATCAAAATTTTCTGAAATCCCTGGTACGAAATTAGGAAATAAAATAGACAACTAAAAGAAGACATTTAAAAGACATCACAAGACAGCTCCCCAAGTACATTTACATTATAATTTTTATTTCGGGACAAAACACATTAATCTTAACTGTAGAATACATATAAAACATATAAAATGTAAATACAATATGCTTTCGATCATGCAAAATTATGAGATATATACAAAAAACTAACTTTTACACGATGTGGATGAAAACATAAAGTTATTGGACGGTTCACACTGAATTTGTATGGTCATTCTTGGCTTATATGCGACACATAAAACATATACAAAATCAAAATATATAATTAAATATAGATATACATATAAGAAAGGCACACGCGGATGGTGGCACCATTCGGTTACAACTAGGTTTTATCCATCAAAGACGTTTACAATAATGAAGGCACTTTAGGTATTGCTCTTGATGATGTGTGGGAGTGGCTAAATTCTAATGATAAACTATAAGTTATGGAGAGTTATGATAATTTAAATAAAGTATGTTTTAAATAATTTAAATATATTTTATTTAATTTTTGTCATTATTAGTTTAGCTCAACGTTTTGTTCTCTTTATATGATGATTTGATTCGATATAACAGAGAGCAGGGAATTGCTTCTGATTAATATAAATATACAGAAATTATGATTTTGTATTATGTGTATCGTCTTAATATTATAATTTTAGTTACAGAATATTAGAATAAACTTCAATACAAACTTTGTCTAGCTAATCTCTTTGAAATGACCTTTTTTATATGAACAATTATTTGCCTTAAGCTTATCTAAACATTTCTAATTTACATATATTTATTAAAACTTATTTTATATGTACACTTAATGGTCAATTCTAAGGCTATGGAATGTCTGATATGGATTTGTATTCGTTGGGTTATCGAACTTAAAAAAACTTACAGTGAACTTAAGAAACTTAAGAAAATTGGTTTCTAAAACTTACAACTTAAAACTGAGATCTTAAAGATCTGTTTGAAAAAACGTCCTAAAACATAAACTTAGAATATAATTTATGCAAAAATTTTGTTAAATTGGATTCCCAGAAAGATCTGTAAAATAAATAAAATATTTAATTAAGTTTCTCATAAGAATATGGTTGCATTTAAACTTTGATTTTGTTATTTAACAAACACTGAACCTACCTGCTTTTTTACTTCCTGGTTCCAGGCTGTGTGATTGGACGATTCGGCGTACTCTCTAAGCGCATCCCGCGCTTAGAGAGCGGTTACTTAGACGGATGTCTGCGGCACACCTTCCACCAGTTGGGTGCGTCTGGGCTGTGCCGCTGGCTGTGAGCTCAACGTGGCTGTCGTGGTGTGGGTGGTGCTCCGGGCGGAGGGCACGGGCGTTGTGCTTCGACTGCTGCCGGAGACACTGGCCGCTGCTGGGACCCGTTTCGCTGGCTCCGCCTGGAGCTGGGGCACCGGTGTGCTGGAGAGGGGCTGCAGCAGACGCTTCTCCTCCACAGATGCCGCTGCCTTGACCGCTGGTCCGTTGCCATTTCCATTTGGCTGGGATCGCGGCGTCGCTGCCCGCTCATTGGACTTTACCAGGCTGCCATTGGTCTCCTTCAGGGAGATGCCCGACTTGAGGGATGCCTGGCTGCTGGACTTTTGGGTCATGGCCAGTGAGCTGGGCGAGCGCAGCGAGGTGGTATCCGTGTGCGCCTTACTGGCTAGTGTCTTGGAGGATGGTGAGTCACGATACTCGTAGATGTTGTCCCGGGACCTCAGGGCATGGTGGTTGGTCACCATGTGGGCATTGTCCACGCCCCGAGCTTCCGGCTCTGGCTCAATGCCCTCGCCGTTTATGAAGACGTCCTCGTCATAGAAGCGATCGGATTGTCTAAGGAAATATAATTTATTGGGATTGATAAATTTATATATATACACATATATTGTTTAGGTTTATCTATAGTAAATACGTTTTTCTTATCCCTCCACTCACCTCTTGGCATTACGCCACATGATGCAACAGATGACCACCAGCACGATGAGGAAGAAGCAGGTTACCGACATGCTCCAGAAGGCAATCTGCAGAGGCTCCTTGGGTTCCCACCAATACTCTGTGGTGGGCGGATATGTGGGCACCAGGACCCCGATCACCGTGGGCAGATACTGAGTCCAGAAGGCACACTCCGTCTGCCGATAGTTGAGAAGGATGGAGGAGTTGAAAGTGGTGTTGATGTTTAGGTAACGAATTTCGCCCTGATAGGCCCGCTGGTAGTGCATGCCCAGGACCTGTTGGGGCGTCGGATTGCTGGAAAGAGGGTTTGACCAAGTAAGTAACTATCAGTTAAGGCCTTTTCTTAAGGGCTCACCCGTATCTGGCAAAGTTCGAGTAGGTCTGCATGAAGAAGTGGCTCATGTTGCGATCGTTATCCGTCCACATGTTGCGCTGCAGGTGCTCCTTCTTGGGGAAGAACTCGGTGTCCAGGAAGGGGGCACCGGTGAGGAAATATCGTTCGATGTCGTGTGGATATTTGCGCCATTGTGGCAGGTTTAGAGCTTCAACAGTGGTATTTAGGACGTACATGTACACTGGCACCTTCTGCTCGAGCATCAGTTTGACCATTTTGTCCACCGGTGCCCGGTAGTAAAGGTCGCTCAACATATTGATGTACTGGTCCCGGATGATAGTGTTATTATTGGGATCCGGCCAAAATGTGTACATGTACTTGATGGCCTCGTACACCCCATTGGGGTTCAGTGTGTAGTTGTATCGGAAGACGTGTTCGCGTATCTTCTGATCGAAGAAGCGTCCATCGAGTTCATAGTACGGACCCAGGGACTCGTTTTGGGCCACAAAGAAGGCTGCCTCCTGTGTGGTCACTCCCGTCATGTACTGGATGTTACGGTTGAACTTGCCAGCCCGAATGAGGGTCTCGGGCGTTTGGGTGAGGAACCGCCAGTCCCGCTCCCTCCAGCCTTCATACCAGTCATCGCCGGGCAGCGTGAAGTTGTGATCCAGCACTGGACCCCAAGGAAAACTGCCCACCTGGGGATCAAACTCGGCATTTCCCAGCTCATAGAAGCTGCGGCCAGTGCGCAGGCAGTTCACCAGCTTCCATGACGATTCGATGGAGCAGCCTAGGACCTGGCCAAGTACTCGACTCGTGTTCATTGCCCTGTACTTGTCCTGGATCAGGGCCCAATCCGCTAGTGCTGATCCTGACTGGGCGATCACTCGCTTCACTATATTGCGTGTCCTTGGCGCCACCATCAGCAGACCGGCAGAGGCTCCACCAGCACCCGGGCCAAAGAGCGTAATCGAATCACGGTCGCCGTTAAAGAACTCGATGTTGTCGTGGACCCAACGCAGGGCCATTGCCTGATCTAGGATCCCGTAGTTTCCGGGCGAGTTCTCATCTCCCGTGGAGAGGAATCCCAAGGCACCCAGGCGGTAATTCAGTGTGACCACTACAACATCGTAGAAGGAGGCCAAAACGTGGCCTTGGAACAGGTTAGAAGCTCCGCGGATGAACTCGCCGCCATGAATATACACCATCACTGGGTATTTTTGGGCCACGCCAGCTCCAGTCTTCAGAGGAAAAAACGAGTATAAGAATAAGGATAATTGTAATTCCTTTAAGACCTTATTAAAAAATCCGCCTTACCTTGGGTGAATACACGTTCAAGTAGAGGCAATCTTCGTCCATGTCCATCACTCCCTTGGTGGCTCCCGTATATCGCACGGGCTGGGGACAGGCGGGTCCAAAATCCACTGCCTGGAGGAGTTGCCAACCACGATGAATGCGGGGTGGCTTGAACCGACCCTCAAAAGTGGGCGGCAGGGCATAGGGTATGCCCAGGAAGGCGGAACACTCGCCCATCACACGGTCCACCGTGGAGTGATAGGGACGGTAGAAGGACTTAGGATCAGGATTGTCATACATGTACACCTTGAAGCCCTGCACCTGACCATAGTTGGTGGTTACAAATACATCTCGTTCCAGAGTCAACGAGTCGCGTCGCTGTTTGCCTTGCAGATCCTCGCGCCAACCGGCCAAAACTCCCGGGAACTGGGTCCGTGCATTGGGGTCGTTCTGCGGAGAAGGGGAATCATTAGCACCATTCCATGGATGAAAAAGAGGGGGACAGTGAGCCGATCAGCGAATGGGAAACATGTGTAATTGATTAAGTCGCCTTTGGCTCCACTCGCGATGGCATGGAAACTTAATTAAGATTATTGCTTTGATATTGGAGCGATCTGATGATCGGGGTGAACTCCCCATCTCTCAATGACTGGTCATTGTTCGTCCAAAGATTGCCCCGGTTAAGATCTTAACCATAGATGACCGATTTTCGTGTCAAAGAATTTAATTAATTAAGAGCAAGTTGGGGTTTAGGTGAACCGATCAATACAGTGATCACAAAAAAGCAAGCGATTTTAGATAAATAAAAATATGATCATTAAGAAACTATTATTACCGGATCAAATCGAAAACGATCCTCGTTCGGCATACCCTGCGGATATTGTCCGGGTGGATTTCTTCCCGGATAGTTGGCACCGAAACCATTTGGCTGATAATGACCATATCGTCGATCGTTGAACGTGTAAGTTCTGAAAGGAAGTGACTTGGGTTATCAAAAATGATAAGACACGGTATTTACCTTGACTCACCTGTAGTCTGGATCGCCTGGATTGGGCCAATGATAGTCAACGCCGGGACGTGAATAAAATCTGGGGTCCCTAGTTTGAGCCTCAGCAAATTGGCCAAGACAGATGCAAATTAAAATGAGAAGGGCCACAAGCCAACTTAACTTGTCGCGATATTTTAATATGTGCATCATGGCTATCTAAAATATAAAATAATAACATTTATTTCAAGTTAATAAAATAGATCAGAATATAACATTTCTCAAAGTAAATTAAGCTATTCAACATAAAAAATTGATTAAAATTGCTGACTAAACAGTATTCCTTCTTGGTTCCAAATTTCTATGAATCATCAAAAGCGCTTAACAGTTTCAAAATTCCGTAAAGTAAAGGGAAGCTAAAGTATTAGAAATGTTTAAGATCTTCGCCTTGGCTTCCCCAAGCAAACAAATCTTCAACTCCATAAATGTATAAACAAACAGAATAAAAACAGATCTCGGCTCTGGGTACGAGTAAGAGTGACCAAACTGGTTTTCCATGACGTTGTTTCGCTGAATTTTCTTGACTCTCCGGCATTAGAAAAAGCCGAGAGACCCACTCAAACCCGTTTGAATGTTGGCTCGAAAAAATGCGCTAAAAATAAGTTACAGCACAAAGTGCGACTCCAATTTGGTGGCAATGTGATCGGGAGTTACTCCAATGGGGAGCGATTACGTGTGTGCATTGTCTGGGGCGCTGGCATCGGCGTCAATGGGTTAATTGCAGCAAAGAAAGGTCATCGGTGTAAATTGGACCAAACGCGAAGGGGAAAACTAGGGTAGCAAGAAATAAAAGGGATTGTTGAAGTTCCAACAAGTTCAAGTGTTTCTGCTTAATGTTGGAGGGAGCACTTTCTGATAACATTTTTCAAATGTTAATAAAGTTTTATCAATGCGTGTAATTACATATATGTATGTTTCATTATTTATATTTTTAATGTATTCGGAATGTGAGTAGTGATAATTTACTTGAAATTGGTTACAAAATTAAGTTTTGGACGGTCACAGCTTCAAACCACGGTTCTAGATTCAGGCTTGGCAAGCGAAAAAGAGTCTTTGGGTTTTGAAAACTCTCATGATTCAAGTTCAAGTAGATGATAAGATTGGATTCAAATTGACAAAGTACTTCTTCACACAAGTATCTAATTTTCTGTAATTTTAACTAAATTTAAAACAATTACATTGCAATCAAATTTACAACCTATAGTCTCTACCATCTGTTATTTCATACGGATAGACAACTTGGCTATAAAGAGTTTACACAAATTACACAGAGAAAATAGAAACTCGTAAGTATACGTGTATTTCAATAAAGTGTACAAATACACCAAAGATAAACATATTATTAAATTGTAATTCAACTAGAAAAGAAACAAAGCTTTAAGCCGTAAATAAAACTGAATTAATTTAAATAATGCAAGGTATTTCCTTTAGCTCCAACTTTTTGGCACATGTAAAAATGCAACAAAAGAAAAAGTCAAAAGGAAGAAACACCTGGTAGTTTTAAAGACAGTTAAAATTTGAATTTCTTTATTGGCAGTTATTCAGTTATAATGCAGTATCGATGCAACTTTGATGTCGTTACCCCGGTTACAAAACATGCACATATACAATGATGATCATTAAAATATGACACCATAAAATTGAGTTGCTTACTTTCATCATTAAGTTTGTTTTTAATATGTAGAAAAAGTAAAACAAATTTTTTAATTAAGTTACTGAAGCATAGATTAGCATTAAATAAAACGCTTGGGAAAAGTTCCAAGCTAATGAATTGCATTTATAGAGTCTAACACTTTTGTACGCTTTGAATTTTGAATCGTTTAAAATGTTAAATATTACATTTTATAAATATTATTAAGAGTTCATGTCAATATTTAATTATGAATAATATTTATTAAGTATAATTTTCTAAAAAAATTACGACGACTCTATTATTTCGAAAAGTAAGTAAGGCAACGCCGAAAGTTATCAGTAATTTAAAAATATTATTTATATCAAATTTTAATTTTTAGTTGGTGAAAAAAGCGCTGATCATATGTAATGGATATTTGCATTGAATCGTCTTTGATGCTATCATCTTGACGGGGGCTGTATGCTAACTGGCACAAGGACTCACACAGATACGAGACCCCTGTGTGAGTGCAGTGCATTAACCTGCTTGCGGACGCCTCAAGTTACTCCTCGATTGCTGCTGAACCCTCTAGAAAAGGGGTTCTTATTAATTTACGGAAGTGCAAACGCCTGCACAAAAAATGCGCCAAGCTTAGTTTCCAAACTCGAGACTGGCTGGGAACTTTCATATCAAATTTCGTGTCGAAATTTCGATTGTTTTTGTTCTGTTTGTCGCTGAGTAGTGAGTGAATCATGGATTCGTAGTACCACTTTTTAGATTATTTTCTTTATTTTTTTCGCAATCACCGAAGCAAACAAATAAAACGCAACGATAACGCTGAAAGTGAAGCGCAGGTATGAATGCTTCTGGTGTGCGTTTTGTATCTGTGTGTGTTGGCCCACTGCACAGGTGTTGCTGTTTTTGTTGCTGATGCTACACGGAAAGAAACAGGCACTTTGAGTGAAATAATTGGGGTTGATTCTTTTGATCATTTTATATATCCATTATTGTGAATTTTATTTAATGGCACTGATATTTTAATTCATATTACGTCTCTATAAACACATTTGTTTATTTGTTATTAACTTATTCCTTAAGAACGATCACTAAGTTGACAAGTTAACTCTTTAGTTTTCATTTATATTGTATTATATTTTTCTCTGTGTTTTAATCTCACTACTTTTTACAGTTATGCTCCAATTGATGACGTTGCCGTGGCAACTTGTTGCGGCTTCTAGCCTTCATTTCACTATCTAATCGCGATTTTCCAACCATTACCACTGCCACCATCTTCGTATCGCGATATTTCAATGTTTCACTCACAAAATAACTTTCTTAGCCAACGCCCCGAAAAGGTAGCAAAATATAGGAACGAAAAAAAAACATAAAGCCAGCGAGAAAAAACGTAACGCAGCTGAAATGACCGTTTTTGAGTCACAGGCCCAGGTAGGCCAGGTAGCGTAATAACGTCAAAAAGACGGCTCACGCACACACACACACACAAACACACAGCCGCTTTGTTAACACTCACACTCAGGTGCTGGCTGTTACCAACGCTCACACAGATACACCTGTATTGGTCGCAGTATGGAGCGCGCGCAGCTTGGAACGATTTTTTTACTTCCACGTGAAAAAAACGACCGACTCTCTCGAACGCTGCCGCTGAACTGAGGCCAGAAACCAAACTCGATTCGAACCGAGTCGAATAGAGCGAGCCAACAGATGCCGGCCTCTGAGCACGTTCACTCCTATCTACAATGAGTTACTAAAGTATTCGTTAAAAGAACACATTTATATTTTATATATACAGATATTTAACTTTAGGACGAAAGTTTTTTTTTAAGTACATGAATTGCTGGTTTTTCTAACTAACTCATTCGGACTACACAATGTCGTGTCATTCGTTTCTTAATCTTATTCTTATTCTATTACATATGTATTTATAATTTTGGATTTGAAAATTTTATGTGAAACCTTTGATTTGTTAAATATCTTGGAATGACTCTTGGGATTGACACTACTCGACTCGACACCTCTTTTCGGATATATTTAACAATTCCATTAGTAATATCTCTTCCAGTTCTTCCTCGGAAAAAATTTTATAACAAATTTTATCTTTAAAACTACTAATTTATTAATTTTCTTGCGACGTTAAAAAGGGCTTAATAAAATATTAAAAAAATAAAAATGTGTTTAAAGTAAAAGTTATTAGTTACTTAAAATTGGCATAACCTCTTTTACGGCAAATACTTTTACAACTCACTATACGTACAGTGGTTCTCAAAATAATAAAAGTGCACTTGCATTTATACTGGTTACTTTGTTGTTTTTCTTTCTTGTTTGATTTTTTTATCCGCCTTCAATTATATTGCTTGAGGTTGCACTTTCTTAGGTACCTTTTCTCTGATTTACTTTTTTTTAGATTATTAAGAAATCGCATAATTTTTAACTGAGTGCAGTTTTTACACATTTGATGACAGCATAAAACGGAAATTTCTTGATTTGGTTAGTCAATTAAATTATAGTTACCTATGGTGTTATAATTATTATTATTTTTTTTTTTACATTTTTTAAACATTTTGAGAGAATAATATTGCTTCATGAGCATTCTATGGGGATATTGAAATAATTGTATATATTTAAAAGCCTTTGACAAACGATTTGACCGACGACACATATATAAAATATAAAGAATGGTCATAATCTCAGCAATATTTTTAACACAACAAATACATTTTACTTAACACATTATTTATATTTTATTTCATGTTAATCAGTTAATGGCTTAAAGATTGGGTTCATTAAAATGATTAATCGAGCTTCATTATTTACTTCCAAAAGTTTTTATCGTTTGTTGTTTTCGAAAAGAAATCCCTTTTCATTTTAACAAGTTTCTTTTGAATTTAAAAACAGGCAGGTATGTCTTTGCGAAACGATAAGAAAACACACCTTTTGTAAAAAAAACAAATAGGAACTCATTTCCAAAAGAAGAAAATAGTTTACTCGTTGCTCCATTAGTAAACAAACTTTAACGTATTTATTTCGTACTTTATTAACTATTTAATCAATTTAATCTATTTAAACTCAAGGTAAAGTCTTTATTGGGATTATTAATTCCATTACTATGTCAATACCGAAATTGATCGACCAATTAAACACTGGGTTCGCTCGATACAGTGAACGGACAAATACAAATATTGATTAATCATAATTTTCCAGTAAATAATATTTGGAAACATTAAAAAGAAAACATCACAAGTTCATGCTCATAAAAGCAACTAACCTTTTTGACATAATTTCAAACATCTAAGCAGCTTCCGTTCTAACGAGTAATGGGTTTTTTTTGCATGACAAAACCTAAATGTGCTTTGCATAATTTCCAATAAATTTCTATTAGGAGTCTACGTATTTGTCGCTGGCAAGAAGAAGGGTCGTGATTCACCGAGCTCAAGCGCAATTGGAGATCAGTTCACATTTTGACCCCGACTTATTGAGCGGTCCGTTCGCAGTTGGGCGTAGCTGCTAATTTTAATTATGAGCGAAGTCAAACGACGGCGGCGATGCTTCCGATGTCAGAGATGCGGGAAGCAATTAAAGCACTTGGACGTGGACACGCTTTGCTTACAATGTTGACCCTTTCTTTATTAATGAAGTGCTTAAGTCAATTAGGCTAAAGGAAAACTGAAATTAACTATCAAGAAGCGGTGGATTTGGGCTTATGATCATAAGCCTTGTGGAAAATATCAATCATTGATTGGGTCTTGAGTTACTCTCAACCTTTAGCAGTTTAAAGTGGAACACCATTTGGGTAAGTTAAGATGTTTATTAATTAATAAATGTATTTAATGCCACTTAAATGCTTTTTATTTTTCACAAACTTGTTGCGGAAATGTATTTCTTGAAAAATACTATTGTTCTGTTTATGATAATATAAGTTTTTATCAAGAGAAAAGTATACCACAGCCATTAAAATTACTGAATGCATATTATTCAACACCCCTAAGTTGATTTTAAATCCACAACTAAATTTTAAAAAGCCCTAAACTACAAAAATCAATTAATATATTATTTAAGTATAGCGCATTTGTTTCAATAAGGAATCAAGATTAATATTATATATTTTTATTAGGGCATGACTTTAATGAAGGTAAGACTTTTATCTAAATTTTAATCTTAAGTAAGTAAAACTTCTGTTAACGTTCCTTAGTTTCTGCTTGCTTTTCAAATACTCATTTTAAATTATTGCGCCGCCAAACGTAAAGCATTGATCTATCGAAATCGAAAGCACTGACATCGATAAGCACGATACACATCGTAATCGACTCCTGCAGCTGTTTACTATTCGAGAAAAAACGAACCGAGGAAAACACAAATTTTGGGAGGACTCGCAGGACTCACTGCGGACCAAGTCTCGACCGTATATCTCATCGCACAGCTGCAGCCGAGCCATGGAGCCGCCATCGACGGGCGGAATTGCGTCAGGTGCCGGCAACCACTCGACACACAAGTTCCATCCCTGCGACGAGGCGGTAATAGCCACCAACGACGATGCCAGTGACTGCAAGCGCTGTGCCGTGCGGCTGGGCTACTGGAAGGACGACTACATCGGTTACTTTGTCCGCAACCAGGAACGGAAGGCGCCGGAGATAAATCGCGGCTACTTCGCCCGCGTCAAGGGCGTGGAGATGTGCGTCGAGAAGTTCCTGAAGGTCAGTGTGGGGAGGCTGGGGATGCAACGGTCATTGAGAGTGGAAAGGGGTGGAGCGGGCGCCCAGCTGTCTGGCACGTGCCTAGGTCAAGTGCCAAGGCGAGACCGCGACCACGAAAGCCACCGCGTCCTGTTGCACCGCACCCCAAGGCCACTGGCATGCGCATGTCCGTGCTGGCTTGGATGGCCTTGATGCTATATCCTAATCCAACTCCTTCAATGTATGTTGCAGAAAACGTCTGGCAATTGCCAGATCATCAATTTGGGCTGCGGCTTCGACACGCTCTACTTCCGCCTGAGGGACACCGCCCACCAGGTGAAGAACTTCATCGAGCTGGACTTCCCCACGGTCACTGCCCGCAAATGCTACACAATCAAACGCAACAAGGCCCTGCTGGCCAAGATTCACGACGAGGACGGCGAGGTGCGCTTGAGCCCCACGGATCTGCACGGGCCCAGCTATCACCTGATGGGCGTCGACCTGCGCAACCTCGACGAGGTGGACAATAAGCTACAGCAGGCCGAAGTGGACTTCTCCCTGCCCACCATCTTCCTCGCCGAGTGCGTGCTCGTATATATTGAGGCGCAAAACTGTCGGAATCTGCTCAAGTGGATAGCCCAAAAGTTCCAGGCCGCCGTCTTTGTCAACTATGAGCAGGTACGTTATGTTCCTTGAATGTACAGGTGTTCCAGCAGAAAGCTATGCAATCCTTTCCATCTTTCTCGCATTTTCACAGGTGAACATGAACGATCGCTTCGGCGAGGTGATGCTCAACAACCTGCGCGGACGGGGCTGCAGCCTGGCCGGCGTGGAGTCCTGCCTGTCGCTGGACACGCAGCGAAACCGCTTCAAGGACAGTGGCTGGAGCGGTGCCCGGGCCTGGGACATGGTGCAGGTGTACGAAAGTATTTCGGCGGCCGAGCGACAGCGCATAGAGCGACTGGAGATGCTCGATGAGGGCGAGCTGCTGCTGCAGCTCTTCCAGCACTATTGCTTGGTAGTGGCCTGGCTGGGCGTGGCCTTCCAGGATATAGATATCACGTGCGTGCCAGTGTAAAAATTCGTGTCTGACTCGCGGGGAGCATAAGATTTTCCTTTATATTAAACACTATTCTTTTTTTCCCCTAGTGTGGAGGAGCTGATGTCCTCTTTGAACATTGATTAAGAGCGTTGGAGGAGCCAGTGGAATCCTGTCTGGAGGAAGGTTATGCCAAAAGTTTTTTGCTTCTCAACGTGTTTAACTTAACAAAAACTTAAAGAAAAGATTATGAAAACAATCGAAATGGAAACATATTTAAATTAACCTACACACAGACTCACTCATTCACACACATGTGCGTTGATTTACGTGTAAACTGTTTTTTAATTTTCCTTAAGCCTTATTCTCTTGTTAAATTATTTATACCCTAATTGCGTGGTTTTCTTCAAGTTCTTACATTTGCTCTTTTATAATCAATCGTACGTTCATTCCCCATTTTTGTGTGCATTGAAAAAATGTAAATGTATTTTGAAATTAATTAAAACAAAACGTAATTGGAAAACTTCAATACGATATATTTATTAATCCTTGAGAAGCAGCCTGTTTTAAGCGGGTCTTGATTTACAGGAATTGTGGATGAGTACTTCACGTCAGTCTATTTAAATGCTTTTACCAAGGATAATGGTTCAATTACAGAAAAATAAAAACTTTTTTAGTTTTTTTGTTATATTCTAATTAATGTAGAAGTGTCACAGATAAACTCATGAGATATTTAAACTAAAATTTAAAAGTATATTTCAAGTGCACGTAGATATATAATGTACTAAACTTCTTCGTTGTTGGATTTTGCCATTTCACGAGTTCTGAAAATACGATTAGAAAAAAATTGGATGAGATTTTAAGACAAAACAGGTTATAGGGAGAGAAACTCCGGTACATACTTAAATGTGATATATACAATTTCTAATTGGAAATAACTTATTATAAATAATTTAGTTTATTAGTTTTACTAATTGATGTATCTAATATTACACAAGATATAATTCTTGCAATGTTAAAACATTCGTTTTTATACACAATTTTGCGTCAAATATTGACATAGTCTCGATATATCGAACTTCCCCCACAGGGTTTCTCAATAGAGATAAGAAAAAATGGATTTTAACATCGATATTTTGGGGTCGACAGTTAAAAAACAAATCGATGCGTTCAGAATAGATTTTTTCCAGTTCTACTTCCCAATTTATTTAAATGTGTATAAAAAAACTTCAACTTACATGGCCCGTAGTTCCTCCAGCGTTGGCACGGGTATACGCGATGATTCCTTGTCATCCTCCCTTTCTGCCTCCCTCGGATGCTTTTTCCACTTGTGCGAGCGACAATTGGTGTTGCTGGAGAATCCTTTGCCGCAGTACTTGCAGACATACGGTCGGAGACCCGTGTGGCTGAGCAGATGAACCTTCAGGGCTGTGGAATTCGTGCAGCCGGCGCCGCAAATTTCGCACTTGAACCGGCGCTCCTCTACATGCACGAACTTGTGTTTGTTGAGGTTGGCACGGGTCTGTAGCTTTTTACCGCAAATGGTGCATTTAAATCTAGGCTCTCCATGCGTCTCAAGGTGCACCTGGAAGCAGATTTAGTTTTTATTGAGGGAAAAACTTGTCTAGGGAGAAACCTACTCTTAGTCTGGCCTTGTTTTTGAAGCCAGCTTTGCAAACCGGACAGATGCAGGGCTTGGCATCCGTGTGCACCAGCTTGTGCTCCGCCAGCAAGGTAAGGGTCTTTAGTCCTTTGCCACAGCAGTCGCAAACGAATCGCTTGGGACCGCCGTGCATGTCGTGCTTGTGTGATCGCAAGGCCACGTTGGAGATGAAGGACTCGTTGCAATGCTCACAGGCAAACCTGTTGCTGATAAAAGGACCTCCTGTTGGTGAAGACCGCATTGATGCGTCTCCCAGATCTGGCAGAATGCACTGGGGTTTTAAGGTCACTGTGTCTCTTTTATTGACCACCTTTCGTCGCTGGTTTTTAACGCCTTTTGGTCGTCCTCGTTTCCGTTTCACAGGCAGCGGCGGCTTAGCGACTTCCTCATCGAAATCAACACTCTCCTCCCTCTTCTCTTCCATCTCTTGTTCGCTCCAGCTGAGATCTTCCTTCAAATCCTGGGTTGCAGGGGATATCCGTCCTCCGTCAGAGCTGAAGTCATCTTCGTACTCCCTTCGCCTAAACTCCTGCTCCTGATCGCGTCTGCTGGTAGTTGATGAAAGCCCATATTCTCTCCGTAGAGCTTCTACGTCCAAATTATCATGTGGCTCCGAGTGGCGGAGCAGTTCAAAGATGGCTTGTACCTTGTTGACGCTGTCTGAGAAGGTGACCAGCTGTCCAATCGCCGAGAAGCAGTCATCGCACAACATACTGCCCAGTTCCGGCTCCTCGTAGGTCATCTACGGCAAACAAGGATCAGGGATCAAGATCACCGGTTAAGTGGGAATTACGCGGCTTACCTCCACATCAAAACACTTGCTTATTATGGCCACAATGTCCGGATCCCGTACCTTAATGCCGGCATCGTCGCGAGCGCACAGCCGGCACCAGTAGAGCCATTCGTTCTTGGGAATGCCCATAGCTAAGTGCCAATACGACAAACTCGAGGTAAAGTTTAAGTTTCGACGAAATATTTATAATTTGAACGCTGCCCAAAGATGCTACAGCTGTTGAGAAGAGTGCCCCTGTTCCGGTAGTGTGACCAGAGTTTGTGCCGTTGTTATAAAGCCATAAAAGCGTTCCGCGGCTGCACCGTGGACTCATTAGCCATTTTTCATTGCAAAATTAGTGTGTTTTGGAAAATACGACGAAAGGAATAAAAGACATCAATTATTTAATCCTGACTCAACGCCAATTTTCTAGAGCAATATAACTAAATTTGATATTTAAAATGTTTTCAGATATTAAGATATTTACTCAGCGTTTGTTTTAAATATTAAAACAACAAATATTTTAATTTTACTTAAAAAAGGAGTTTTTTTTTTTTTAACAAGTTTATTGTATTATTAAAAACAAGGAATGATAAAACATAAAATATAATTTGTGCTTAAGATACTAGGATTCCGTTTCAACATCCCCTTGCTCAACTTCCATCGCTTCTCTCCGATCTTCGATGGCATAGTAGTCTTTTAGAGCCAATTCATCGTCCAGCGTGGGTTCGCCTAGTACCAGTGGACCCAATTGCTTGTCAATAACGATATCCTGCCAGAACGCTCTGAGGTTCTTTGCTAGCACAACAGCCTTAAGCTCATCCGCAAACTTGTCGTACTCCTGAAACGCGTTAAAGTCTATGCAGCTCTGGCGGTACAGACCAATGATTTCGCCCAGCTGTTCGCTGTTGAGTTTCTTGCGTTCGAGCAGCGTGAAAATGACAACGCGGACCTGGGCGGCAAGGGCCTGGAAGCTAGCATCCTTCTGGGTGGCATTTGCGATGGTGCGAACGCTGGCCAGAATGCGGGTAAAGTCCTGGGCTGGAGTGGACAAGCCAACGCCGTCGCTGGGCATGGGGTTCTCCTTCTCTGGTGGCTCTTGCTTGACGAGCATGCCATTTTCAGCCTTATCCTTGGCCTTCAGCTTCTCCAGCCACTCGCGACTGTAACGCATCGGGAAGAGCTTCTTGACGGCAGAAGCAGCCTGCTTGGACTTCTCCTCCAGAGGCTCAGGGACTCGCCAAAACACATCTGCAAAGTTCTTGTCTATGACTTTAGATTGATTGGTCACTTTTCGCTCCAGGACGTCCATCACGTTCTGCTCAAAGATGCTGGGCAGTCCGTCGAAAGGCAGCAAATCGTTTTCGGGCCACTGCCGCAACTGCTGTGTGTCTCGTAGTGAGCACTCCAGATCTGTGCTGTCGATCAGCCGGTCGACGGCCTGAAGTTGCTCCTCGCTGCACTCCGATTTGGCGGTTCGCAGAGCTGGAAAGTCCCAAAAGTGATGTTGAGCCGTGTAGGACACCTCCAGCATGTAGAGTGTGGCCGGATTAGAGTCGTCCGCCAAACGTGGCAGCAGCACTACCATACGCGGTGTATTGAACTTGGAGCTGTAGATTTTCCAGCAAAGTATAGCCCGATCCGAGGCAATTAAGGCGCGAACCAGGGCGTCGAGTTTGTTAGCAGAGGCAGTGTTTCCCTTCTGGTGTACCAGGAGATACAGAGAATCTCCGCAATAGTACTCATCAGGGACAGCATCGCGCTTGATGAATCCGAAGAAGTGAAGGCCCGGCGGATGCGGCTCCTTCGGCTCAAGCAGGGCGTCGTCATAAGGCACCGGGGTGCCGCCCAGCATGTAACCGGTTACCAAGTCCTCCGGCAACGGCGTCACCTCAGTGCCTTTGATAAAATGCCGTGTCTCGCGGGAGACCAGCTCGTTGTCTTCCCCCCAGACCTTCTTCAGTTTGACGGTCGTCTGGTTCTTCATGGCGATCACACCCTGCAGGCTGATGCTGATCTTGCTACCAATATGCAACTTGGCATTCCACGACCAAGGCCGTCTATTTGTCACCTTGAAGGCGGTGCGCAGGGCCTCCTTGAAGTTGCACAGCGTGGCGTTGCAGCGGGGCACGAGGCTGAGGGCGTACTTCTGGTTCTCTAGCTCCTCGGGGCTGCACTTACGCGAGAAATTGAAAATGGCCTGAGGCAGACCGCTCTCCGAGTTGTCTATGTAGGCTATATTGTGGGTGCTGTTTGAGAATATAGAAAGACTACATTCAGTTGTGGCTCTCGCGCTACTCACCCCACGATCAATTCTATTTCTTCGTTGACCAGTGTGTCGGTGATCGTGTTGAACTTTTCATAGTCCTGCGGAAAGGCATTGAAATCGAAGAGCAAGAGGATCCTCCGTCTGGCGGGCTTGAATCTGCATGGGAATGTTTGTCCATGTTAGCTGGACTAAACCAAGTCCAGGATTGTTCCACTTACAACAAAGCCTCCTCCTGCAGTTGTAATGCCACTTTCAGTCCATCCAGCCACTGTCCCTCCTCACAGGCGGTTTTGTTTACAAATTGGAAAAACTCTAGGAGAAGATGCCAAGAGCACAGTCGGGCGTTTCCAAATTGCACTACATTTGCCGCAGTCAAATCGTCTACACTGCTGTCACAGCCCACCAGAACAAAGGACACCAGATCCTTCTTGTCGCACACGATCTGGGGGAACAAAAATTATTGAAGTCCACAAGGCAACAGACGATTGTACTCACCTTTTCCTTGAGAATCTCCGCTGCACATTTCACAGATTTCAGTTTAACATCCTCGTCGGCACAGGTGCGCACATCCAGCACGATAATTAGGCACTCCTAGGGACCAACAAAATTAACGCTTTCTTGGGGCAATAAATATGTGGAGTATTTACCTTGTTAGAAGCCATCAATTAGTTTATTTGAAGAATTACTGCGATTTTGAATTGCGGCCGGCGTACAAATTTCACAACAGTATGACCGTTTACGATAGAGAGGCAAATTCCAACCAACTGTATTATACCCTTCAATGGCGACCGGTCACACTGAAGTCCACTAGCGTTGCCAAACTGAGTAAGAAAATGTTTAACTTTATCTTGAATTTCCGGTCTTGGTGTACCTGGAATACTTTCGGGCTGTGTTTGGTATCCTGAGGGCTATGCGAAGCAAAAAGTATTAATGGAAATCTTCCGGAACCAATTCCCCCCAACAAATTTTCTGAACAGAATGAGTGCTCAAGCTTACCTCGCGTTGCCAACTTGCAGAGGCATAGTCTGGCAACACTACCCTATGCCGGTATATTTGAATACTTTCTTATTTAATTTATAAGTTATTCTTCTCATTATTGTAAATAAATAGAATCTTGGGTGTCCCCAAAAATATATTTTTCTTAAAAAAAACAACTGATATTTTGTTGTATCCGTTCATATTAATCTTTATATCCCCATGTCTCTGTTAAATTTATATTTAATTCTAATACTTTATAGCTTCTCATAGTGCTGTATCTTTTCCAGGTACTTAGCATTTTGGCTCAAGTGGTTGAAGATCAAATTCGTGTCGAGAACATTCGTAGCAGGACCACCATATTCCGCTGGCAGGCACTCATAGCCCACCATTTCGCGAAGTTTGCTGAGATGTCGTCCGTCGTGGGTGAATATCTTTGAAAATAAAAAAGTTAATACTAATTAATTTATGTTTGGGTCGAAAATGCATACTCTTTCCTTGAACTCCTTGTTCATGAAGGGCATAAAAAGCGTTGAGGTGATGTGCATGAGGAAGCCGCGCTGTATGATGTGGACGACGCGCTGGCTAAAGGGCAGGACTCCGTTCTTTTCGTTCACCACCTTCATAAAGGATGGCGAAAATTGACGCAGAAAGTTCCTCGTGGTCCTGCTTTGTATATGAAGAGAGTCAAAGTAGTGAGGAAATTGTTTGTTTTTTATATAACATTTAAAGGTTAAGTTTTTAAATCTAATTGCGATTTGAAAGTGAATTTGAATAATATCTGAAAATAGGACGAGATCTCGAAGCAAATCTAATTTTTGTTACCTTAAGAGGTGTCAAATATATAGACGTACCCTTGAAGGTCACAGATGACCGTTATGCCGTTCTCCTGGACACGCGGCAGGAGCAGCAGTGACTCGAATATCAAATCGTCGATCTCTACAAGGTTCTGCAAGTAGTCGGGGTAGTTTTGGAATCCGTCCACCGTCTTGAAGACCACCAGCACTCGTCCGTTGCGATCGACGTGTGGCATCACGTAGCGGCAGTGGGTGCCGTAGAAGAGCTGGCGATAATGCTCGATGGGATGCCTCGCCACCCAGGTGGGGTGGCGTCTCTTGAAGTCATAGTAGGCGTGGATAGCCTGGTAGGCCTTGATTGTATCCCAGTGCGCGTAGTTTAGGAACTTGGTCAGCAACGTGTCCTCCGTGCCCACTCGCAGCTCGTCGCACTCTGAAAAAGTTGACACTGAGCTCTAGGGATCTGGGATCTGGCACAGAATTGCTTACTCTCCACCAGCTGTCTTAGTTGTTTGATTTTGAAGACCTGCTCGGCCGTGTGCTCCACCCGGCTGGTGAGGAACAGCATATTGATTTGGAATTTTTACAAACTGTGTATCGAGATTCTATACTGATTAGCTTTGCAACGACCGAAGTTTCACTTTTCAATTCCCACCCGCTGACGATCCGCACTCACAACGCGACCGTCACTCACTGACTAAGGTAGCCATGAAGTCTGTTTTGGTGCAGACTGTTTATTGGCTTTATAACCAGCGCGTGCCCAAAATTCTAATGGACGCCAATCAGAAATAAAATATATATTGAAATTGTCTTGTCAACTTGAACTTGGCTGTCTGTGTATGTCTGTGTTTGTTAAAGTTTTTGTTGATTAAAACTGACATATTTGGGATTGAAAATTAATTATGTAATTAGAAAAAATCAGAAAACAATTAACATTAAACAAATGTACATAACATAAAAAGAGAGTTTAAGTTACATACATAATTATATAGAAATTCTTGTGGTAAATTATTTTATTTGTTTTTATTTAATTGTGAAAAGCTTGAATTTGGAACAACTTTTTAAATTATTTATCCTTTTAGTTTCCGTTAACAAGAGTTTACCCTTTTTTAAGCTTTTTAATATTCGAAAAGTTGTAATTTGTTATGGTTTTTATACCAAATAAATTTTTTATTTATTTTAGCTCAAGAAATATTCTATTTGTTATTATTTTTATACTCACATATCCATTATGATACCAATTCTATTAAAAATACCTCGAAAAAAGTTCGATACTATTCGATATTCAATAGATCCGATTGTAAAGTTCTGAAATAGATGCGAAAAATATCGAATTTTCGATACAAGTTGTATGGAAAGTGCTCTTAGAGAAACTCACCATGTGAGGCTAAAGTGTAAACAAAAATTTGCTTAAAATTATGGGAACCATGTCTGTTTTTTATTTTCCTTAAGTGTCCGGTTGGTGAAACGTCTTAAAGTACCATCTTCAGCAGAGCCATCAAGTTGACCTTACCACGTACTCCGACCACAATTCATTTAACCCGAAAGGCGGCAAAAAAAAGAGAGGCAGTGAGCAAAGGAGAAAAAGTCGACTCGGAAAGTAGTCAACAAAACGCGAAAGGAAACTATAAGTACGATAATTGAAGAAAATGTCAGCTACACACGCTGCTACGTGACTTAATAATGCCCCTTGTCTGTTCATAATAACGGTCACAACGTGTTGCTCCATTCCCATAGCCATTCCGCATTTGGCCCATCTTTTTGCCACAGTTTGCCGGAAGTTCTACAGTTTCATTTCGGTTTTTCTTGGATTTTTTTGTAATTTTCCATTTCATTACGGCTTATCGATCGACGGGCTAGGAAAAGCCAAGATGGACTAAGAAAATCTAGATACTATTTTAATTAGCAAAATGTGATCATACTCAGGGAGGAAGATGGGGTGATGTCCATCAAAAGCAGTTCCATAGGCGCTTAAAGCGTGACTGTGATGGAAATGTTTAAATTAACATTGCACTACGAATAGCTAATTAATAAGAATTGTTTTTTGCTATCGTGGTGGCATTGTAACTGCTCAAATTTACATAGTATAGGCATATTAAATGATTTGTAATTGTTTATATATTAAGCCATTATCACATCATATGTATTATGTAACCCTGACAACTACTGACAAATGCATGCCTTTTCACAATTTTTATTTTTGTATATAACAAAATATATTTAGTTGGCAAAATGAGCTAACAATCAATTTTTGGTTTTGACATTCATAAAATGTTGGTTTAGTGAAATGCAATTTAATCCATTTCACTAATTTCACCCCCTCTTTTGGGAGTTAGTCAATAAATAACCACAAAAACTGGTCGCTCTTCTTGATTTCAAGCATTTGATTTTATTTAAATTGGTAGTTTTCCGATATTTTTGGCAGTGACTTTTTGTAATTATCCAAAATCTATAAATAATGCATTTAATTTGAATGCTGAATAATAAACATTTGGTTTGTGTGGTTGGAAATTCGGTTCTGAGTGGCGATTGTGTTGCATGCTGATTACATTGCGGTTACCAGGATGGGAGGTCCTTGTGACAGTAACCAAGAGTTTCATTTAATTTCTACAATAGTTTTGTTTATTAACAAAATTAACTAGTAAAGGTAAGTAGTTTGATTTCTGCACAGAGTTTTAAATGTCAAAATAAAACAATTACATTTAGCAATTATTTTCAATTAAAAATGTATTATTTATGGCACATACAGTCAGAAGGCTTTAACAAATTGCTTCTTTTCTTTACCAGTACAAAGATCTAGAATAAAATAAAAACCAAATCATAGACAACATTTGTATTTACATAAGTAAGTCTTAAGAGAAACAAATTTTAAAAATATTCAAATCATTGTTAGAATAATTTAATTTCATCTTCAGAAATAGCACTGAATTCGCAGACACGCCCACGTCATCATGGCGAGTAACAAATCACAATGGCACCCACAATTTGCACTTCCTCTTCCGTTCTCGAAGCCACATATTTGTGGGACCAACAGAAAAAAAATCTAGTTAAGGAATATCGACTTCTAGATACTCTTGAAAGCTTGTGGTTTTTACATTAACCAGAACATCTGCTATGTATAGGGAGGCATAAATAAATAATTACTTTTTATCCTTAATTTACAATTTCAGTGCAAGGATTTTTTTCATATTTTTTTCTTTAAATGACTAATATATACATTCAATGATTAACTTTCCAGTTAAATAAAAAAATTTTAAATACTAAAAGTTTGTTTTTTATATCTAGGAAATATATTTTTTATCAAATAAGATTTCAGTGAGCATAAAAACTTGATCACTTCTTTGGGATTTATTTAATTAAATTAATTAATTTAATGTTTAATAGGTTCTTATCAATGTTGCTCTCTGCCCGGCCTATCAGAGCAAACCTATTTTAGAATGTATGCAGAATTTGGCTTAATCTAGAGATATTTATAGGATAGCACCCATTTATTTAATACAAAAATTATAATACTACTACAAATAAATTTTTTTTCTCTCATCTCTAGCCACTTTGTACTATTTCTCAACCACAGAAATGCAATCCTACCATGCCCATGTATTGCCATGATTTAAACAAACACAATATACTCTTGTACTCCACTGGGTATGGTCTTTTCAATCCTCCTGCTCACTCCCAGACCATCCCAGACCAAAAAAACCAGGAGTAGAGAACAAATTACAAGTGTTGTAAAGTGCCATTTTTCAACAGGACGACTGGGCGAGGAGGGGGAGGGCTAGGGTCGGTGAACGCAACGTAGAAATAATCATAATGGCCGAGCGCATATTTGAGACGAAATCTTGCGTGGAAATGTTGTAGAAACAATAGCAACGACAAGCACACAAAAAAAAGAACTGCGGGAAAAAAGCAAACAAGAAAAATGTGAGCAAATTTCGCTGGCACAAGAAATGGCCGAGAAAGCAGAGGAAACCAGAAAAAAAACTAAACCAAATTCCAATTTGTCAGGAATTTGTTCAATTTTAGTTTTGCGGTGGTCCGGGATGGATGGAAACGATGGAATGACCCCCGAAATTCAACCCACTAGCGACCGACCATCTGCATGCCCCACACGTGCCGCCATGCAAAAGCCATAAGCATAACGGGGACCCACCCACATCACCCCGTACAGGATCAGGATCCGGGAACCGAGGGCCAAGAACTGAGGACTGAGGACCCCCTCCAGCAGTGGCCATTAAAGAGCTACCACGACAAATCGCACACATTTAACACGCACACAGTGGACCCCGGGGCGGGATGCTGTTGGTGGAAAAACTGCATACTTAACAGGCCCACAAAAAAAAAAAGCAGCAGGGGAAACAGCTGCTCGCAATGGCTCAAACTACGCCGGCATACTGGCCAGGACAACCGAGTCGCTAGCGATGAACCTCTAGAGGTAACTAAGTTTCAAACTTAAGAAAGGATATAGCCGATCTAGGATTAACCATAGCTCTGTACTGAAATGTACTAAAAATTACCTGGCTGACTTGCAATTTGATTTAAAAAATTATATGAATATCATCTCTAAAAGTATAATAAATTAAAATAAATAAAATAAAATATATTAACAAATTTTAATTGCTATTAAATACACTTTAATAAAAATATAATAAAAATTCTACATTATTTATAGGATCGGAACATTTATATACTGAAGACAATATGATTAATAAGATGCGTATTGCCATTTTCGTTAGCAGAAAATATCCTTGAATATTTAAGTATGCGTTTGCCTCCATATGTTCTTGAAATGTATTTATTATTTTTATAATTAAGAAATTATAACAAAGTATTTATAGGATTTTTTGGGTTTAGAATTTCTTCTAGAGTATTTCGGAGGAGTTTATTTCTGTATTCAGTATAAATAGGACATTCTTGAAATATGTATGTGGTTTAGGGTTATTGTCTATTCCTTACTACCAAATAATAATTAGTTCTAAATTTTTCAGTATTTTAAAATGTACGAAAAAGATATAGAAAATTATTTGAAATTTGAATGTAAACTCAAAATATTTCAAGAACTTTGAACTCCTTGAACCACATCACGGTGTCATCGCTAACTCCATGCCAACAATCAGGTTTCTTTTGCTTGCGACCTCCCTCCTAATGACATTTGTTTGCCGCTGCAGACATGTGCAACTGTCGGATCTGAAATACAAAGCTTTCAAAAACTGCTCCACAGACTTTTTTCTGCCTTCCATGGAACCCAGCCCCAAGCTTGCCAATTTTCCATTCCACTTTCTGGTACACAAAGTTGGCACACTTTGAGGACTCATTGCGTTGGACTTAAACGTGGTCTTATTTTGTCACTTCGATTATAATTTTGTATACTGGTGATAATCGAGAACAAAGATTGCTTGAATTTATGCTAAGTGCCGTGGAAGACGATACCCAGGGCATTTTTTATTGCTTAAGCAACAACATACCTCTGGGCACAGTTGATAAATATTTGCCAAAACAAAATAAAATAGCACAATTCAAAAATCTAAAAGAATAGAAAAAAGAAAATAACACCCAGAGCCACTCAATTGGCGTTGTCTTCGCGAGAGCTGATGGAATAGGAGGTTTTTGTTATTATCCCCCGGGCAGCATCATATTCCCAAAGCCCACACAGACTCCCCTCAAATGGATTTGTGGCTGTGGGGTTCACGAAATCTGACGGCGATGGTGCTTCGAGAGTTTTAATTGAATTTTGAGTGGCGTATTTAGGGATTTGTTATTTATAATAGAAAAAGCACACAGCCCGGAGAGCTGTCGAAAATGGCAAAAGTCCGATTAAATGCAGTGCCATAAGACGAAATGAAAGCCATTTAAAATATTAAATCTTAAATTGTGGGCGATTCTGCGATGATGGAAGTTTAAAATAAGAATTTTTATTTAATTTTTAGAGCGCTAAATTTAAATAAAAAAATATATTTTAAAAAGGCAACTCCTGGCAGCCTCCTCAACTTCTTGGATTCGGCCAGGCTCAATCGAGGACCAGACTTATTTGGTGTGAATGCAATTGGTAGTTCTGCAGATTATTTGGGCGAGTGAATTCCCTCAGAATATAGTTAAAATCGTAGGGCGTAATAACTTGACCTTCAGCCAGTTGGGATATATAGTCAGCAGTAACATCTGTGACTCCTTTAGCATCCCCATCAAGTGGCTCACCAAATTCACGCTGAAATGTACAATTATCGTATCAATACAGGTAAAGCTAACGATTCAAAAAATACAACCTGGCCGACAATCAATAAACCAATCCAAAACATTATAGTATGAAAGAAGGACATTATGCCATCCACACAATAGAAAGTCACCTGCCATGTATATATTAGAAGGTGTATCCAGGTAAGATACACCGTAATAATTTCCACTTGGCGACGGAATGTAAGAGCTGCCAGGTCGAGACCAGCATCTTTGAAAATGCTGTACAAGTTCTTATTAGCCAATTTCATATTTGAAAAAGAATAATAAATTGTATGAATATGATAATTTAATAAAAGGCTACTTTGATGGTGTGGAAAATGCCTGAAAACTGAAATTAAGCGTAGGGTTGATAGCTATTGATCGAAAAACGATAAATTATAAAACGATACCTATCAATATTAAGTATTATTTAAAATTTATGTATGGAGTGTTAAAGAAGAAACACAGCCGAGGTAAGCTCCTTTCTGATTAATTATTTTTAAAAAGTATCATAGATTATATAAATAAAAAATTAAAACAATATAAATTTTTCCTTTCCCCCACTCTTTTATACATTAAATTTCAATAGAATGAAATGGAAAATCTTTTTTCGATCCACCAAAAAAATAATATAGGCAAATGGGTGAGTATTATTGTGTGGTTCTCAACGAAAATTGTGTTATAAAAACCAATTTGTTAACGCCATAAAATCTTGACCCGGCTATTCTTTTCTTTGTTTTTTTTTTTTTTGTTTTGTTTCTCGTTTGATTTCCGTTTTATTGTAGTCGATGACCAATTTGAAGAGCAATATGTGGGGCGAATTGGCCCCAATCAGAGGGATTCAAACCAGTCAACCCGTTCCCTGTTATTCCGGATGCTGCTGCCACATCGAGAGATGGTTCGAATTTACAGCAGCTATTTATTTTTGGCCAACATTTGCGGCACATGTCGCATGGAGTGGCTCTGGCTCTGGCTCTGGCTTTGTTTTTCTTTTACGAGTGCGATTGCGAGTGCGAGTGCGAGTGCATTTGTTGTTCATTTCATTTAAATTACCCTGTGGCTGACCTCCTTGTCACAACATGGCGGTGGCGTCATATTGGTACTGTATCGTATCCCGCAATCCACAATCGAATGCTCATTGACCATTTTTTCCCCCATTGTTTTATTCCCTTTTTTCCCCAATAGGGGTTATTGTGGTTTTTTAATCAAGTGGCATGCGAACAAATTTTGGCAAACCGATTGCTCTGAGGGATGTGTGTGTGTTCGTTCAAGGGTGTATTTGGTGTGTGTGTGTAACAACAAAAGGTTGAATAAAATGAAAAGCATTCATTTGGAATGCAATACTAAACAATTGCAACAACAATATGCAAAACGAGGGCAATATATTGCATTTTCTACTAGTTAAAAGTTCTGTGAAATTAAAAAACTTGACAAAAATAGAGATAACGGTATCAATACATATATTGGTTGTACAAAAATATATACATATGTATTTTGTTTTGCTTACAAAAACACAAAAATAATTTATGTTTTCATAAAAGGTAACTTTAGTTTAGGTAACCAACTTTACATAAACGAATGTTAAACAGACGCTGTAATAATTAAACAGGTGTATTAAAAGAGCGTATACTTTCTAAATTAAGTCTACCAATAATGCTAATTAAAGATCATTACTTGTATATAACTTATACATCACCTACTTATCTCAATAATGTTTATATCTAAATAACAAAGAAATCATTGTATTTATTGTCTTAGGAAGAGAAAAAAGAATTAAAGACTTGTGAATGTTAGTTTTTACAAATATGGTATGTTACATTAAATAACATAATATGTTATTTCTACCAATCATTGACATGATAATTTATAAAAGATTTGAAAATCAGTAAGATACCAAGTAATTCAAGAAATAGACCTCAACATCCACATTTCGCTTACCATATTTATGTATTTATGCATAAACATATATACAGCGGCACTTAAAAGATATTACATATATTTTTTATTTTGGCGCAACACACTTCAAAATGGGTAGAATAAGGGCATAAGCATAATACATTTTACGACTGCGTTATATGATGTCTGCCAAAGTATGTAAAATTATTATTTGTCTGACTGGCTGTGTGTTTGCATACTTTGTACTTCTTTCCTCTGCCTGTCAGCCCGAGAAGAGGAAGAGATGTACGACGGTTTTATTATATTTAAATTACACAAAGCATTAAATATAATTCACTCACTACGCTCCATTTACTAAGGCTATACGAAGGCGCGCTCACACACACACAAGGCGGCGCATTACTGTCTGGGCACATAAGTATGCAACAACAAATGCCGCTGAAAATCGCTGTAATACTTTTTCATCAATTATATGATGCGCAAAAATATATATGCTGAGATTTACAATACCAAACATGGCTCACACACACACACAGGCAGGAAGGACTTTGAGCACACACACACACACTCACTCACAGGACACGTACTCCCCGTAGATATATGCCGACATGCTCTAGATGGCAAGCGCGTCATACTTTACTACTTACTAAATCCATTACAAAGTATTTACGTAGAAAATTGCTTTATATCTCTGCATATCTCTCAGTCGACGTCATCGTCGTTGTCCTCCGTGTGCTAAAGTGTGTGTGCGTGTGAGCTCCTGCAGCCAGAAAAAAAGGAAAGGAAATTTAAGTACGTGGGAATAATAGTAGAGGAAAAAAAATCCTTTTTAGTGGCACTCCCTGGGCAAAATCCCGAAGGAACTCCTAAGGTAGTCAGCATCACCTCACCTCATCTCATCTCACTCCCCATCATTGGAGGCAAAAAGGCTGTGTGCAGCAATTTATGTGATTTTTTCGTAAATGTCAGTGGCAAATAAGAAAATATTAAAATAGATTTGTGCACTCTGAACGCAAAGACAATGGTTTATCAACTACACTGAGACAATTAGAATAAAATCAAAAATTATTTAATCTATTTTAAAGTGCAAAAATTATTATTAATTAAATCCCCAATTCTTTTTTTTATTTCAAAATTTGTAACGTGTACAACAGAAACTAAACCTCCCATCTTGGATTAATTTTATTGAATAAATAAAGCAAAAATTATTTATATTAATAATAAAACAAAAACCAAGAATACATTACTATAAATATTAAGTCAAATTTTAAATCTAGAATTTAAGTTTAGTATTACCAAAAGGCATTTAATCTTACAAACAATATTTTTTATTTAAAAAAGGACTTCACTATCATTACACATTTTCTTCCTGTCTATTCAGCTCACAGATGATTTCCATTGCCAAGATGTTGACGGTAAATCACATCCAGCTTTCCTCTATCCAAGACGGCATACAGAGTCATAAAAGAAAAAAGAAAATCTAAAGGAAAAGTATGCCAAAAGCTAAAGTAGGATGCTGGCTGCGGAATGTCTACGTAAGTGTGTGTAATTCATAGCGGATTTGCTTGTGGAAGGGAATTATTCATGCGGACTTGATTGTGCATACAACAATGGATCTGATCGTAATCAGTGTCCCGTCATCATCATCAACTGCTCGAGATACGGTCAAGGAATATTTCTCTAGGATACGCTATTATCCTGTGACATACATATGTAAAAGAGAGAAAAAAGATGAATTTACTAATCTACTACAGTTCCAGCGTTGACTTGATTCTTTATGTTTTGTAAGTAGCGTTGGATGTTCGATATATATCGGAATAAAAATATCTCGCTCAATATCATATCGAAAATATCGTACAGTTCGATTTATCGAAATTTTAAATATCGAAGCTAACTAACCTTCTTAATTATCTAATATTAATTACAAAAAGCCAATGTTAGCTAGCATTTTAGATTAATTGAGGAGAACGGTAAATCAATTTGAGATTTAATAGTCCATCTGCACTGTCATTCCTAAATCCTCTGAACATTGAATGCATCCTTCTAATCTCATACAAACAACAATGAAAATAACTGAAATGAAAATATAACAAATAAATTTGTCGCGCAGCGTTGTAAAGAAGCAAAAGCTGCCTTGAATTGCACTACGAATCACTCTAGCGTGCTATCAATTACTGTGGCAAGTGTTGCACGTGCCACCGACACCGATCCGGTCCGGGAACCGACATCTACCCCTCGGATCACCCCTCCCGGGCACCTTGCAAGTCCTTAGGTCTCACCATCCAGGCAGGACAGCTTGCTCATCTCATTGTGTTCCTTGTTCCTTGGCATTTGCTCGCCTGGCTTTCCTTTCCAATTTCTCCCTCTTTATGCCCAGTATAACCGGAGAGTGGACGAGTATATTGTATTCAAGGAAGTGCCGTGAGTATTACTTTTAACTTTATATATGAGTGTTTTTCCCAAGTCGAAGTCTTCAGGCTATAGTATAGATTTCATAGCACAGAAATCGAGAATTGACTATTGTGACTATATACTATAGCTTTTACAGCCACTTGTATCTTTAGTAAATTTAGATAATGATCAAACTTGAACATCATTTCAAGGGGTTATATACTAGTCTCTCCGACAATTAAGACTTCGGAATTACTAGTGAACTATACATCACTTTAAGAAGCTCTTAAATAAACTTTTTGGTTCTGTATAAAGTCCAATAATACTTTTCGTAAATAGCTTCCTATATATTCTTTGTATTATGTCTATTATTAGGTATTTCTTGGTCGATTGTAACTCAACTATAACATGCTCTTGGTTTCCTTTTCTAATTTCTTGTCGCACTTTGGCCGTTATCTTGGCTGCTCTAGTCCTTCCTGTAAGTGGCATGAACATCGTTGCATTTTCTTGACAATTTCTCGGCTTTTTTCTGGTGGTGCTGGTGATGCTACTACTGCTTCTTCGTGCTTTTTGAGAGCTTGCTTTCAATTGTTGCACAATTTTTTAATTTGTTGCGTGGCTAAAGAAACGCAAGAGTTGCACATCCATCGCCTTGGGAATTTTAATCTAAAGTGGGTGGCTGGAATGCGAAGCACTTTCCGACACTTGCCGTGTGTGGAATTTAATAATTGTTTTAGGCTCGCCAATTGGTATTTAGCTGAATCCCTGGCCATTCCTGCTCCAATTAAATCGGCATTATGTCACAAATCCTGGATATTTTCGACTCCGATAAATGTATTCAACTAGCCACAAATGAGCACACAATTTTCACATATTTAGCCCGCACATATTTAGCTCACGCAGTCGAATGGCAAACAACGTCATAATAACTCAGTTGGCCACAAAACAAAACACAACAAAACAAAACAAACTTCACATTTGTTTGTTTGTGTGCAATGTGAACTATACATGTATTCGAATTGTTCGGCTCTTGAGTAAATTGCAATTTAATTTTATGCAATTGCCGAAAGGCTTAATACTTAAATAATATCAAAGTATAGCATGTTGTTGTCCTTAGGCCTGGTAATATGGCTAATCCCAAATGCGTCTGCTATTATAATGCACATCAAAGGATGTGTGTTTTGGGCCAGGCAATGACTCAAAGTTAAAATACCCTAGGGCTTTAATCCTCTCTCTCTTTTTAAATAGATTTCCCGTGAAATTGGTAAAGGTCTTTAAATTTATAGATAAACATTTGTTACTTAAAAACTCTTCAAAAATTAAATAATTACTATAAATATTGTTAATTTAAATCGAGATAAGAATGAAAAGCTGTGCTGACAAGCCCACTTAGGGCATATGCACTGTCCACAATCTCTATGTGTGTTTTCCTTTCATATTAAATACCAAAATGTAATAAGCATTAAATTTTGTTGCAACCTGCTGCAGCATGGGGATGGAATGTGGAAACGGAGGCAGACAGCCAGTTGCCATTACAATGCAATTAAAAGCCACAGTCGCAAGACGTTTTAAATTTTGTATGTGCAGAGCAAATGTCTAAATGTGAGAACGCCCCGAAAGGATTAGTGGCATGAGGTGGTGCTGCACCAGCAGCAGCTTATGCCGTAAATATACGATGCGATATGAGCTGGCTCCCAATGTCTGCCATAAAATTACGCTCAAAATGTGGCACGTAATTGCCGGGTCCTCTTAGCCGTTAGTCCTTAGTCCTTAGTCCTTTGTCTTGCAATTCTCTAATTGCCGGCAGTGCCTCGTCGTTTGTATGATTTTAATTAGTATTAGGGTTCTAAGCCGGTGTTTTGATTCTTTAAGCGCTCTCTCTACATGTGCTCAGTAAATACCATCCCTTCTTCAGCCGGCGATGTTGGGCAATCAAAAGTTCGTAGTAAATGTAAATTAATTTCCTGGTTACCATATGCAGCAATTGCAGTTTCCAGTTTCCCGTTTCCAGTCTCAATTATCGCAAACTTGCTGCAGTGCATAAATTTTCGAGAATACACACACACACTCAGTCCCAGGTTGGGGCAGGAATCAATGATTAATTTTGTGTGGTGTGCAGTTCGATATTAGCAAACGGACATTAAGGATGCCTATAATCAAGCCAACTCGGGTGAGCCACTATCGGTCTGATCAGCAAGTCCCTGTGCTTGCCAATTTGATAAATATTAGTTTTCAATAACCAAGCTCATCTCGGGCTATGCTTTAAAGATGAAGTCGTATACTACCTCTAATATGTTGGAATAGAAATTTGGTGGCTCTTTATTCCTTAAACACTTCTGTGGCTGCTTAATGGAGTGCAATACTTGGTCTCACACCGCTTCTCCAATTGATAAAAACATGGCTCAAAGAACGCCCAGATCATTAAAAAACGGAATGTGTGACATTTTGTCAGGCATAATAATAGAATTACAATCGCTGGCTTGGCGGCAAACAATCCAAGGGAAATGTGCAAAATCAGCGCAAAAAACGGTGGGGCGTCTCTCAAGGAAATGTCAAATCAAATTTATTGACTTTCATTGTTCGACGGAGGGGACGGGGACGCAGTGGCTCCATCTTCAGCTACAGCTCCAGCTCCGGGCTCATTGAAATGTGAAAAGCCAATGACAGCGGACGACGGGCCAACAATGTGCACCTTTTTTTTATATTCTGTCTGTCGCTCGATCATGTCTGGCTTCTACTTGTGGCACTTGTCGATTTGTCCTGCACTTTTCCATTCGTATTTGCGCGCGATTAAAGCGCCGCTTAGCACGTTTGAATGCCTGCCATCCGATTTCAGGACTCCCAGAGACAATCAGCGCAGATTTCTTCTCACTCTGCCTTTTGGTACAGAGATTTCATGCACCGAGAAAAAAAGTGTCTGGAAATTGCATTATAAACACCAATCTGATTTTGTGGATGAAATTTACGACAAACTTTAATAAAACAGGGTAAAATACAGAGAAATATGTTGGGAAAGAAACATAAAAACATGTTGAGCAACACTCAACATAGGGACAAATGTTGCTAATTATGTTGAATTTTGGGTATAAAATATTTTGAATAAAAAATGTATAATTTATTTAGTACTAAGGTACTAACCAATCTTTTCCCTCAGTATATTAGCTCGCGATTTCCAACAACTCTGCACAATGCCTGGCGGCAGGGCTATAAAAATCATATGCTTCCCTTCATTGCAAGGGGTTGGCTTTTAGTTTTTTTTTCCGTCTTTCTGCAGCTTCATCTATAGCTGACTTTCTTTGTGCCCGGCTAAGTTTGACAATTATTTGCATTGTTCACTGAAGTCGTTTGTTCAACATGCACATGAATCGGTAACTACAACATAAGTGAGTCCGTAGTTATAGTTCCCCCAGGGATTGCCGGGGAGCCCGTCGCCATTGTGCACTGTCCATTGAATTTCCCGGGTGCTTAGAGTGGGAGTTAATACTGAGATAGACCGAAAAGTAGGTTAAACATGAAATGGTATGGAAAATGTTTAAGTCCAAGACCAGTGGCCTGGCTTTGCAATTACTGAGGCTTTGCGAATTGAAGTTAAATTGATATTAGGGATTTAGGTTCAACTAACCTCTTGATTGTCTTCCTTAAAGTACATTTAATTAAACAACTCATTTTAATTGATGTGCTAGCATTAACGAAGTCAATAACAATTTATTTTAGGAAAATGCTAGGCCTAGAATTCGTTCTATATTATGATTATGAATGAGTATCAGTGGCGTTTTAAGTGGGGTTTTGGGAGTCTACAAATTTTCCCGCAGCCTAATGCGATTACTGAACAATGCTTCTCGCATTATTTAAGGAAATCACTTTGCCAAGTTGGTGACTGTCAGGTTGCCGCAACCAATTTTCCTCACACGAATGTTGAAATGGAAATAAATGTTCTCCGCTTGACCCGAAACCCTGTTGCAGTTGCCATTTGCAATGCCATTCAGGATGGAAAAGGCCTGTTGCCAAAAAAAAGGGGGGAGTGGAGTTCATTTTGATCACTTTTTTTTGCTGTTCCTCTGCCTCTGCCTGTCCTTTCCTGCCTGCTGAGCTGCCTTTTTAAATGGCTGCTTCCGTTTCCTGTTCCGTTACGTTTGACTTGCCTGCACGTAAATTTTGTGCCATTTTGTGCGAGAGAAAATGGGGACTTCCCCCCGAATTCGCTCAAGTGCCTCACTCATGTCGGCGGTAAATTTTAGTACAATGCATATATAATCTTTTTCACTTATCTTTGCATAGTTTCCCTTTGCTGCAGCAAAACTTTTTACGGTCTGAGGTTAAAAGTAGCGTCATACATTTCCCGCACCTTCACATCCACAGCCACTCGAGATTCGCGGCGCGTTGAGAGCCATGTAATGAATGGAAAGTTGCCGGGGAGCTCCATAGGTTGCGGAGGCTGCGGCGGTTTCAACTCCTGTTCATGGGATGTTCGCAATGCTCTTGTTCCTGCAAAAGGTGCAAAGGCGATGCCGCAATTTTTGCTGAATGGCTTGGTTCAGTTTTGTACTTGTCGACAATCTTGCGACAGATTTATGGGTTAATTATTGTGAATGGCTGTTCCGTGTAGCAGGCAGGGGCAATCAAGAAGTAAGAAATATAATTCCTTTGCATATATGTAGCATTGAAAATATAGTCAGTCAGTTTTTATTAGAGTTTCAAGGTACATACGGTTTTGTTTTTAAATGTTAAAAGATTTTCAAAACTTTTTGAATGATTAATATTCTCCTGATCGTTCAGAGTTTTATTACAACCCCGATATGGATCAAGAATATCCGTTGTTAAATTCAAATAAGGATGTTGATAATGACCTGCTGATAGATGTCTGTGAGCTGAGCGTTTCCTTGGGTAATTTAACCCATGATGTGTGCAAATCCACGAAGATCTTAGCGCAACACCCGGCACCTTTGGGCGGTGACTCCGAAAGGACTCTTCTTGCAAAATTCCAGCAGAAATTCGAGCAGTTAAAGCAAGGAGCGAAGGCTAAGGAGATTGTCCAGTACGAAGCAAGGAGTAACAGGCTAATGCAACTCTACAAGGAGCTGAAAGATCTCGAGCCAGATGAGGGTAAGCGATGCCAGCACTTGTCGCTCCTTTATGAACTCTTCGATTTTGAACACTCAAAACATAAGAAGATCAAGACATTTGGAAAATCGGGAAAGCTGAATGGAAGAAATAGCATAAAAGTGCAAAAAATTAAAGATTATAGAAAGGTAAAGGGAATTATATGCGAAAAAGTTGTTGCTGAGAGTAGCAGTGTCAAGAAAAATGAAAAACTGGTCTTGCAAAATTCCAAAGACTTTCAAATATGTAAGCAACAAACTTTGACAAAATTAATAGACTCAGAAGAAGATAAAATACAGGAAACAATTTCATTTGAAAGTCCTTTTTATAATACTCGTAACTATACTATTGACAACGATGAAAATTCTATTCTAAATTACAAACTGGGTAGAAAAAATCGTTTGGTAAATATGTTTTAAAGAACGACGATTTCGCAAACCTTTCTCATAGAACACTCAACCACAATTCGTCTACAAATTCAATAAATTCTTTTTTGGACGAAGAATATGATACCGAAACATTGAGTTCTTCAACTCGTACAACGGAAAATAATGATAAAAAGTACATTTATACACTTATGGAAAATATTCAATATTTAGAAAATGAAACAATCAAATCTAACATAAAAGATCCTGAAGAGCAATGGCAAACAAGTGAGAGTGAGTTACTTACTGATTATTCGATAAGTAATTCTAAGACAAACAAAACAACAAATGATGAATCCTGGACTGAATTATCTGAAGAAAATTTCAAGGTCTCTATGGAAAACATCCCAGATAATTATGAACATGGAAAATTAAAACGCAAAGTGGATCATTCGTTAACAGTAACCATTAAAATTAACTCTTTAGAGAAGGTTCATTGGGAACATCAGCAACACATCATAATAGCTCCACGAGTTTTGATTCAACTCTTCAAGACAAACCCAGCTTACAAATCTATCAAACCTCAAAATTTCTACGAGCAAGTCAACCAATTATTCGAGGTCATAGGCCAGGGGAATTCGACTCAGAAACTTCCATTTGAGGCTCGATCGATTCAGTCGCGATTAATCCAAATGCTACATAAAATGAAACGAGAATTACCCAGAAATATAAGCTACTCCGGATGGGTGGCAGCAGTGGGAAAATACCAGCTGAGTCAGCTTTTCAGCTCCGAAGAAATGCGTGCCTACGAGTCCTTGTGCCGGCAATTAAGGGATGATAAAGATGACTGCAGTCAGTACCCCAGAAGTGAAGAATCAAGATTCAGGGATGCCCTGAGGGGCATGATGGGCCAGGAGTCGCCGCATCTGAAGGCCTCATCCGTAACTGGCCGACTGCAAATACGCTCGCCACATCACCAGGAGAGTGTAAGTGAGTCCTACCTCCTATTAACTCTGGGTCTCTTGGGGTACCTTTATCACTCGGCGAAAGATCAGCTAAAGAATCTTGAACATCGGGGAGACTCAGGTGCTTACCTTGTGCGAGATATGCGAAAGAGATTACAGAACTTTCCGGAGTTTCTGGACCGAAGGAGGAACCAACCTTGCAGCCTTCTTTGTCTGTACTGGCAGACTCGTGAATACCAGTTGTTTTTCCAGTGGTTTCTGGCATTGCTTATGAAGATAAACCAGAGTCAGGATCAGGCTATAATTGTCACGCTATACAGGGAATCATGCCGAAGAACTGGAGAACAATGGAGATTACTACAAATGTGGCTGTCGGAAGCGAGCAAACCCTTCGTTTCAAGTCTTTGCTGTTGGTTAACGTTGGGTCAGCTCACTGTCTCGGTTAACGATGAGTTCATCGTTCAGCGTAACTTGAACGCAGTCACTGATGACTTTTGGCAGCAACGCTATCGACTAACAGCCTCATTTGCCAAATTGTTCAATAGTCAGCTTGCCGAAATGATACTCAGTGTGGGAAAAATGGTAGCCTACTCAAAAAAGTACTTGGATCGCAATGTGGAGACTCCACTGAGTATCACAGATCTCAACCAAAAGTTGCTTCTCCTGCTTAGTCATTTCTATCAGCATGGGGATCAGGAAGCCCTCTTCAACTTTCTTCACAAACTGCACTTTGATGTCTCTGGAAAGGTGTTGAGTTTTCTGCGAGACAAGGACCCTTCGCCGAAGGTTCTGTTCCATCAGATGCATAAGTACTTGATGGTCACGGATATGCATTTTTACAGGGAGCTAATGCAGACACTGGAAGGTCATCTCAGAGAGCCGGTTTCTGCATTTAATACCAAATTGTTCAATATCATGTTACGTCAGATGTTGCCCAGACAGGTCGCCGATATTTATATAGATAGAAGCGAAAGCCAGGGATCCAAGTGCTGGTCATGTTTTCTGATTCGTTTAAAGTTGCCAGACTATTGGAGAGCTCTTCTGGGTGAGAACATGAAGGAGTACGAGGCTATATTTTCAGGATTGTGGAAATTCCATTATGCTAATTATGTGCTCTCCGAAATGGTAGCTCGTTGGGAGTTGCATTATAAAAAGCATACCAGAGCCACACATTTTGATTGCATAGACCAAGTGGACCAGCAATTTGACATCCTTATCGACCTTTTTCTGGATGCAATGAATGTTTTGAAGAATTATCTGCTAACAACCTTATTGGAACCGGCTTACAGCAAGCTGAGACTGGGATGTGAAGAGGCCAACACCCTGGATGATATGCTAAATGCCAATAGAACCTATCTCCACACCGTAAGTCTGGGTTGCTTTCAAACAAAAGGTCTAAGCAAATGTAACATGTATCTGGAGCAACTCTATGATGGCATTATGGAGCTTGATTTTCAAGAACAGAGGTTCCACAGCATCCTGAAGAACTTTAGGGACTATTTGACCAGATATGGTGGACAAACGAGTGGTGTAAATCAGTTTCTATTACCAAGCTATGAGTTAACAGATCGAAAGCGTGAGTTTGCCTGGTCCTGCCGGGATTCCATAGATGTCCTTATTATCCTAAAGGACAAATTCCAAAATACAATGCTCGACCTTCTGTTTAGCCTTCAGTTGGAGGATATAGAATCATTTAGAAGACTGGCTCAAAGGTTGGATCGAAATGGCTATTATGAACGAATGGACGAAAGATTGGAGTTGGTACAAAGATTCGAGTTTAAGAGAAAGAGAGATAATACCCATTATAGCAAACAATAAAAGTTTTTGTATTGCAGTTACAAATCAAATAAATCATTTAGATTTTATCCATAAACATTATGTGTTATTTAGTCGGTTTTTAAAAAAACGTTTCTTTTCAAACTTAAAATACATAGTCTGTGTAAAATCCTTGAGCAGCTGCTGGTATACAAGGAATAAATGTATTATTCCACATTGACAGTCTCAATCACTTTTAACTCCATTCAAGAGTTATTATTCATTTAGCAAAGCGGATATACATACACGATATACATAAAACCCATTTTTGCCGCTTTGTCTTTATATAAATTGGATTTTAATTGAAATTTAAGAATCGACTAAGCAATGTTTGCATTGTGCAGCAACTGGGAAAGCCTTTTGTTATGCAAATGTCCTTTATTTTGTGGTCCCGTGCGAATTTGGACCGAAAGAGGCAGGCGGCAATCCGAGTGAGTGACTGTCAGTTCGTTTTAAATTAAAAATAATAATGGAAAATTTACTTTTTGGCTTAAGCTTTGTCCAGATAGAACTTTCAGCTGCTTCGAGTGGGGAGAACTTTTCGTCGTGTGAATTGTAATTGCTTGGCGCAAATTAAATCAAATTCGGGTCCTCACTTCTCATATTTTTTTATTAACAACTTATGCCAACACTTTATAACAGCTCTCATCTGCATAACTTAATTTCCAGAGAATCCGCATGGAAATATCTGTCCCCTCGAATCTCTGCCATTGAAATGAACAATGGCGAAAGGATGGCCCACAGTTGAGCTCCTTTGTTATCTGACAAACACAGCTGGCAGTCATCTCAGAAGTCGTCCACATATCACCGACGGAGCTCAGAACTCGGAGCTCGGAGCTTCGAGCTGGATGAATTACAAAGCACAACCGGCTTCCTTCAAAAAAGAATGTCAAGAAGATAATTGAGCCCAGGCAGCAGGCATTTAATAAACTTGATTCGGGCGATGCGAAGGAGTGTCACCCCGGGAAGGTTGACAAGGTCATGACGTGCGTGCGCTTGGCGACAAAAATATAAAAAAAGAAATGTTAACATGGTGACTTGCTCGACTGCTGATTAGGGAAATTAATTTCATAGGAAAATTGCCCTCCCTCGGATGCGTTCTTTGTTGATAAGCAAACAATTAATTTTGGGAGTTAATAAACTGAAGAAATAAATCAGGAATCAGCGGATTAAGGTATTTTATACAAAAGTCATATTCTATTCTATATCTGAGGCTAAACTTTCCAGCAAATTGTAATTAAAAATTAGGTGATAGATTTAATTAGTTCCCACCACATTGACCACATTGTTTTCTTTTTTTTTGTTAGCTTCTGTGTTAATTAATGGCAAATTGCAATATCAGTGACATTATCTTTGACTCATCAAGAGCATTGTCCTCAATGTCAAATTAAACTGTAAAATTTATTATTATGCCCGTTGACATGCTTGAACTGTTATAGGCAATAAATTCCAATACAAAGTCTCCATTTTGGCTTTCAACAATTCCTCACCGCCTCCTCCCTCCCTCCCATTGTTATTGACAATTTGTTGTCAGTTTTTCTCGCCCAAACATGAAGCAATTTATGTGGCGAGCTTTATGAAATACTTCTCATTACTGAGGTCGGGGCTGTGTGGGAAACGTGGGCCCGGCGACCGATGGCTCGAACATATTTGAACTATTTTCATTTCAATTGCAAACGGTTTGCGCAGAGAAATCAATTGAATTGCCATTTCACATATGAAATGGTCATTTGTCAATGAACAACAATTGGAGGGCGTGGTCGCAGCTGGTCTCGATGGCGGATACTTGATGCTGGGTGCTCGGAGATGGGTTGACTGCCGCACAGTTATGCGGTCAGTCAAAATGGCCGCATAAATATGTCCTTTTGGTCCTGCCAACGATCTTGTGGCCCCCAGTCCTCTGCTTCCCCTCGTTCTGGCTAAATTGTTGGTCGTTATTAAATTTCCGCTGCGTTGAGTTCTCATTTCCGTTCCGATGGCCAATGCAGCTGGCCGTCTCTCTGAATCCTCATCGGATGTTTCCATGTGACATAGATACTCCCATACGTGCATTTATATATCTATAAATATATATCCATATATATACTTTTTGGATTCCGACTGTGTGAACAACAAAGGGGTTTGCCTTTGCCGCGCACATGGTGCGTATGCGTAATATTCGACTATTATTTTTATTATCATTTTTTGAGTGCCTACACAATAATCCTCATTTATCCAGTATTTGTGGCGATCAAAAATTGATTCTACAATTGAAACGCTTGTTTTGGCTTTTTCAAAAAACCCCATACCACTATATATGTGCACATATATAGATGTTTGTGTGAGTGTTTGGCTTTTTAGCCAAATTGAAACTAATTGAAATATATGGTGGCAGCAGGCTGCGACTAGAAGGGAAAGTGGGCAAAACTTTTGCCATAAATTTCAATAAAATGGCATTTTTGGTATTTCCCTTTATTTCGCCTGTAGTTTTGTATTTGAGTGTTTGTGTGTGGGGCTTGTAAGTTTTATTGGCATTACGTATACGCCACCGCGCCATGACCCCATTAATTGTTTCGTCAGCATAACTTTACATTACATTTGTTGTTGCACTTCTTTAGTTTTAATGTGATTGCTAAACTTATTATTTCTTGTTGAACTTTTTTACAGAAGTATCATGGCAAAAACATCTACAAAAAGAAGGGAAAATTGTTAATTTGCTACTAATATGCTACTTTAGCTTCCTTGCTTATCTAAAATAAAATATATTTCTTAAGCTAAAAATAGCTAATCAAGGATTTAGCAACTTTTTTAAAATTTTCTTAAGCCTTAACACCCCACAAAGAATAACTTTCTGGGACCCTTAAAGTTAGTCATTATTTTGTTGTTACATATATTAACTTACCCGTTTAATTAGACGGAAAAGGCTTTAACAGTTGCTGGTGCTGCTAAAAGACCATTAAATATTATGAGTTTTAATGAAAATATAATGCAATACCCATCAAAGGAACTCCCATTCCGCTGTCCCATGGGCCTCTTTTTATTTGTTGGTCTTCCTTTGTGGCCGCCGAGTTTTGGCCAAATAAAAAAGGAAAAGAAATAAATAAAAGAATTATTCAAAATTATGGGCCAACTCTGGCTGGTGTCCAGCTTAACCCTTGTGTGTGTGGGAGCTTCGCCTTATTTTCCGCCTTTTTTAACAATATAGTACTTATCCCAAGTTTTTATTAAACTCAACCCAAGCGCTCTGCAAAAGGGAAATCTTAGGAAACGCATTAAAAAGGCGCTAAGTAAATATTAAAATTTCTGTCAGAGGCTTGCGTGCGAGTGAAAAGAGCGGGGGCTTAACCCATTTTATTATTATTATTATTATTATTTCTACCCCGACTAAACAATGCGAGTTAATGGCGTCAGACGCCGGACAATGTGGTGGTTTTGCTTCGGGCTGTTTATTTATGCCAGGCGCTAATGGACAGCGCGAATTGCTAAAAGAGTTTGCTCCGGTGAATATTATTTATTACTGACGTCGCCACGGCCGAGAACAAAAGATCTAATATTTATTCATTTATTTATTGATTTATGGCCTGGCATTTAAATCAAAATCAAGGCAAGAATGCTGAACATTTTATCAATTTGATATGCCTATTTATTATGATGTTTGTACTTTTCACCGCTCGAGTATCTCACCCCCCGTCCCCGATGAAATTTATGCCTTCGCTGACCACGAAAGATTCATCTTCATTTCATCTGTCCATGCTCCGACTACAATGGTCGAACCCCACGTAATGCACTGAGCGAAAAATATTTATATACTTTATGAAAAAATGTTTGCTAAATGGGAACCATATGTGAAAGGGTATGACCTTCCTTAAGAAGACTCCTTTGGTATTAGAATGACTTTTTGAATCCTTGCTGTTAATATTTAAGTCCTATAATTACCAAACATATTCAAATGTTTATTGAATTTTCTTTGTAGCACTTATATTTGTTTACCTATTTTAGTTGATCTTTTAAAAAAATTTAATATTAAAACATTACAAACAAACATTATTATTACATTATAAAGTCACATTATTTACAACTTTCTTAAAATGTCCTAAAACAGTTCTTGTACTTAAAAGTTTCTCGCAAGTTAATATTATCTTATATTATTATTTAAATATTATAATTACAAAACATTTTCAAGGGTTTATTTATAGCTCTTATATTTGTTTAACTATTTTAATTGAACATTTGGAATAACATTACATTCTGTTAGTAACATTATTTGAAACTTCTTTAAAATGTCCTTAAATAATTATTGTACTTAACATAGAAGTTTATCTTAAGTTAATACTATCTTACATTATTATTTAAATTCTATATTTAAAAAAAGTTTCTAAAGTTTATTATTTTTTATATTTCTTTGTGTATTTAAGTTTAACATTTTATCAATAATATATTAAAAACGTCCATGAAAATTGTATATGATTACATTTTCAAGTTAATACTATCTAAAACTTTCTTACATTGTTTTTAAATTACAAGTGTACTTGGCAGTTTCTTTTGAATAATACATTAAATACACCCAATAATGAGAAACCTTTTTCATTTTCAAAAAATTTAATTACAATGAAGTTGTTCGAATGGTTTTCTCTGAGTGTCCTTGATTAGTTGATGACACTTTGGGTGAGGGAACGAGTCCTGGCACTACAATATATACGCCTCAATGGGTGTGTAGTTCCCCTATCCACAACTTGGCCAAGACGATATGTCTCGCTGTGCGGTGCTTGTGGCTAATTTGATAAATATGCACGCGTTTATTCAAATCAATCAGCGTCAGACGGCAGGCGTTGGCGGTGGCAAAGACGTAAGCGGAGACGAGGACAAAGACCGAGGCTCTTTTGAAAGGAGAGGACAAGTCATTGGCATCGTCTTCACTTCAGTTCACTTCCCGGGGCTTCGGATTATCTCCACCAAACCCCTGCTGGGTGCATCTTGTGGCATATAAATTTCAGCTGCTTTCTGCCAAGCTTCCCCTTCCCTTATATAATCATCTGCACACACACATCTCTCTTTGGAGATTTCATTAATGTGCGGTTA